TTCAACATGAAATTAGGTGCGTGTCAGTTCTCATGTTGGCACAGCTTCACAGTAGCTCATTAACCAACTGTTTGCTACGACACAATCTCAATCTTGTGGAAGGTGAAGGCTAGTGTAGCATGCCATGCAAATAAAGAGGTTTGTTCTCCATCTGGCCAGCAACACCTCTGGGGATATTCTGAGGCATGGAGACTGAATGGTTGCTGTATGCAAAAGGTGACAGCACAATGCTTTTGAATTCATTCACTACACTGGAAGAATCCCATTCCTCCGCTCCAGAGGCAAGGTGATTGTCCCCTTGTCAAATACTTTTAACACTTAAATATTGTAACTTGTCAACTGAAATCCAATGAAAAAGGTAGGGCACTTACACAGATGGAAATAATGTAACAGTCTTTTATGGATTTAAGACATTGCGGTAACAAGAAAGTGGGAGAGCCATTGTGAAAATGAAAACATTTGTGGATCATCAAAATTTGAAAATCATATACTTTATTTCATTATTAAAGATAATTGAATATTGATGAATAACTTTTTGAGATGTCCTCTGAGCAGGTCTCAATTAAAGACAATTTACCATCTGAAATCAAAACCGATAGCAGGTACAATTCCTCATCTATTACCAGTTATAGTTGATGTAGTTGGATCATGGATGAACATGCAATTTGGAAAAACTCATTTTAACACCAGACTGGATTCTGTCAGCTATATATATTATTTTACTCCCTACAGGTTTACATATAATGAAAGAAATTAAAAGAAAACAAATCTGCACCTTGCTGCAATACAGCCTTGAGGGACAATACACAAAGACCAGAGATTTCCACCCAGGATGTTGAATTTAGTTGTGCAAACTGTTGTGTAAATTATGACAAAGGACACCCAAGGAGACTGTAGAGTGTGTGCAGGACACAGAATCTTTTGTAACTCTGCCATGTACCCTAATCTGTGGGGAGGGATGCTAAGTGTGTTTGTTTCATTTGTTCGGGCCGTAGGTTGTAGGCCAGTAACCCTCATCCTGACCTTTAGCGTACCTCTCCCTTTTTCAGGTTGCGCTCCTATCAGGTTTAGCACTCCCTGCTGAGGCTCCTCATTAACAGGAAAGTGGAACATCTGTGCTGGTCAGGCAGGATGACTTGGGCCTCTCGACCACAGCCTCAGCAGAGTGTAACAGCTGGAAAGTACAAGCACTTCCTACAAGAGCCCTCTACAATAAAGAGGATAACTGCTTTCCTTATAGCTTCTTTAAGAGAATTATTTCAGCTGGCTCTGGTTTTATTCTGGCCTTCAGGTTTTTGCGGTGTACCTTGGTAGACAAAACTCTTTTCCACTGTCTTTTACAAATCCCTTTAATGCTTCTCCCAGTAGGCACCTCCTAATGGCTACCTTTTAGTTCCTGTTGAACCGACGGACACAAAAGTCCCCACATCACACTTTTTGTGTAACTGATATAGTCTAGTGAGGTGTCGTGGGAAAACTATGGTCACACACACTTTGCTTTAGAACAAATTCAAGACTGCAGGTTTAAGAAAATCATTATTTAACACACAGAGAAGGTACTCATCAGTGGCCAATGGCCAATAGAGGGCAGCAGATGCACTGCTCCTTGAGCGAAAGAAGAAAAGATTAAATTATAAAAAATATCAAAGTGTTTTTGAAGTATGGAATGTACCCAGTGATATTTGAAAAATATGATTTCTACAGAAAATATCTGCTTTTCCTGCCGGTCATGCACGCCTCCTTCATGCGTGTTCTAGCTACGCTAGGGGAAATCTCATTTTAGCCAATTGCCTATTAAATTAAAAAACGTACGGCATATAATTTAGCCAATCAGCGTCCTGAAACACACTCTGGGGCAACAATGGCTTCGCCGTAAGCTTGCGCATTCTCGTCAAGGCTGGTATTGACAGGCGGATGATTTATCTGCCATTTAAGCAGATAGACGACTGACGTATATACAGTACATCATACGGATTATTATTTGATTTAAATATATTATGTTATACTGAATTGCCTATGGTGGTGACAAAAAGATCGTTAAAGTGTTATTTATGGCTTTTAAAAAAATGTTGGAACATACATTTAACTCCATGGTAGTAATGTGTTTTTGATACTATTATCCTTTTGCCACCAACTTGGGGTGTTTGCTGAAATGTATTTGATTGAGCAAAGTTAAACTACTGTAATTTCCCAACCACCACAAATGAAGATTTTTTTTTTAAGTTTATGAACAGGGCCCAACTGAAATGAATTTTTGAGGCTTATCTATACAGATATTGGAAATAAATTAATATTTAATCGTTATTTCTTTACATATACAAATACTTTGTAGGAATCCTTGAAACCAGATCTACGATAGGGGCGGTGAAGGTACTGCCATTGGACAAATCAGATAACTCAAATGACGTTTAAGTAAAGTAAAAGCACACACAGTATAGAGTATGGACCACATGGCTGAACTAAGCTGCATTAGGAATAGGCACGTGGGTACTGTGTAGAATGGTTACCATTAAGTTTATATTTCATTACTCTAGGAATTGAGATTTTTTATTTTAATACAATTTTGTCGCATGTAGCAGCTTGTTTCAAGAAAACACTGCTGCCTTACCGTATTCTGTGCAAAAATGAAAAAAGTCTGACTGAAACCATTTCTGCCATTTCATGTCATACAAACCCACTCGTCAGTGTACCATCATGCAAATCAGCACAGCTAAATGACATTGAAAATGTCTAATTGGATAGGATTTTTTCTACAAGTTAACCGTGATAATGTTTGCTGTGCGGTGGCCATCCCGACATTTGCTTATAGCGGTAAATCTGGCAGAGAGATTTCAATTTAATTAGGCCTGGGAATAATGTAAAGCCTACACAATTTCCTTGACAAATAACCTACACTGAACGGTAAATAACAAGTCTGTAAAGTTGTTGCACTGGGATCAAGCGACAGCTCGTATAACAGCGCTGCGTTTGGTGACGAGTAGTTCTGTAGGAAGGATTTATGGTGTATAATAATGGAGAGTTGTGAGTCACAATTCTCGTGTGAAGTATAGAGAAGACGGCCGAGCCCACGCAAAGCTCTTGGTGTAATGTATGCAGCCAGCACCTAATTTCCTATTCCTCTCCAAGGAAGCCTTCTGAAACGAACCCAGTAGCTCTATTTATAACTGGAAACATCTTTTCATCTCGGCAGCACCATTAGGTAAAGCACAACACTAAAGCCTCTTCACCTGCACATTGATTAGATTGAATATTAAAGCACTATATTGCTTTTCATTTAGGGAGGGGGGGACTTTTTAGGAGGTAATTTCAACATTACTCAATCACTAGTTTTTGTAGTAATTTTATGAAGTGACATGAAATAGATTTCCATGTGTTGAATTTACTTAAGCGTGTGTGTGTGTGTGTGTCTTATTGTCTCATTGTATGTCTCATTGCCTGCTTATGCCTGTGCCACATCTGAGTGAGTGGGCAGGCATGCGAAGGAGCTTGAGTATAACCAGTATGCTAGATGCACTTTAAAAAAAATCTAAAGTAGGGCATCAGTGTAGTTTCAAAGCTTTTACATTAATGAAATTCATTTTAGTATCAATACTCAGTGGGGGTCCTGTTACAATGAGCAACCCACAACACAAGTGACACTGGTTGTTTATTTAAATTCTGGCATAATGTGGCAAATATACGTCCATTTCTGCAGATCCGAAGTGAATTGTTCTTCCAGGGTGGCGAGTTATTTCAATTGATTTTTTTATAATCTCTCTGACCACAGAAATACTGTCATTAACTATGCTTATCATTGTCACACAAATGCGTATCTGACCACAGCTTGAATTCCCACGAGGGATGAGACTACATCTTTGAATCGCCAAGCATTCTATGCATGAGCTTCATTAAATGGCCTTTGGCACGTATTGTCCCTTCAAACCCTGCACAAAAGGACGAGTGAAAACGGCTTTATTTGCCACATTATGAACTTGCTTTTGTACGTAGCTATATTATTGACGAGCAAGGTTGAAATAAAAAACAATTGAAATTTTAAAAAGGTCAATGTGTACACAATGGCATTTCATGTCACATGTTTTTGTTAAAATAGTATATTTGATGTGTCCATATCAATATTCTACACTGTTTATTCCTATTTAAAGTTGTAAGACAATGTTCAATGTTCGCACTGGATGGTCTTTATGCCAATGTGTTTGCTTTGACCGAAATAAGGTAAACGTTAAAAAGGGCCTTTATCTTTCGTCATGGGGATGACAGCTAATTGGTTTATCCAGATGACATGTTTGAACAGTTAACGAGTGAGACGAAGGGAGGTGATTGACAGTGCAACGTAAAATAGACGGTACTGTTTGATCAGGAATTGATTGCAATGATATGCCATATGTATCGAGTGCTGGTAAATTCAAATTATACTAAAAGGATGTAGCCAAAACAACCGATTCTACAGGCTTTAGATTATGTATTTAAGGTATAATTACAATAACTTCAATTAAACAAAAAGTTGATGATTAGATTGATCTGGGTGTGTCCTAGAAAGTATGGTTTCTATGAATAATGATGGCACTTTATGATGCGGCAGCATGAGATGCAAGCAAACTCTGCATATATGGCCCATTATGTAGCACACTAGAAGCAGATGCACCATGGACAACACAGCCACAGCACAACTAGTTGGTCATCAGGGAAAATCCACCAAAGATAAAGCAGTAGGTAAGTGGTTTCCAAGTGTAGCTTTGTTGAATATACTTTAGCCACCATTAGCCTCACCACCCCAGATCCCAAAAGTTTCCTGCAACGACTATAGAATGAATCTTCTTTGTTAAAACCATTTTCAATGCAAATGTTTCACATTTCACTTTTGTTTGTCAGTTTTTAACTTCTTTAATGTTTCATATTGTCCACCTTTAGTGACCAATTGAACAAAACGGTGTAGCTGCCTCTCAAGAAGTGGGCCAAAAAAAGGGCTATTAGTTTGAGGTTGCTGCGGTGTGTTCACTCACCAGCTGGGCATCTGCAGGAGGCCGTTCCATTGGAGCGTGTCAGGCAGGTGGAATCGTGCAGGCAGGGATTGTGCAAAGGGTCGCAGGGGTCATAAGGCTGGTTGCACAAGGGGCCACTGAAGAACTGGGGGCAGGTGCAGGAAAACTCCCCAGGTACGTCTAATTCCTGACACTGAGCTCCATTTAGACAGGGCCCAGAATCACACTCGTCCACATCCTCTGCACAGTCCACACCTGTCCAGCCTGGATAGCACAAACACCTTGGACACACCGAAGAGAAGGTATGACACTGTAGAGGTCATTTCAGCATGTATGAAAAATAAATCAATACTTGTGTATTATTCTGAGGGTTAACATTGTCATTCTCCGCAGGGAAAATGGTGCTAAGAACAGAAACAGCAGCGGCATGATGCCGGGGATGAGCTACCAAAACAATTCAAATGATCCACAGCACACCTCTGTCAGCATTCAAGTACACAAAGGTCCGCCGTCACGTACACGCTTGAATTTTTGCTGTGCAGGGAAATTTAAAGTCAGAGCCGCTTTTAATTCTGGACAGCTGAATGTAGGACACAGGAGGTTAGAGCACTGAGTGGGGATTAAACGGAAATGTATGCATGCTAGTCACAGACCGCGAGAAGGAGGAGGATGATGACACAGAGACAGAGACGTCTGAAGCATCTGCTCTTAAGGCGGGGTGAATATGCCACTTGGTGGCAGTGAGTACCCGAGCACAACAGACCACTCCACCTTGCATTCTTTTTCATCCCCTAACTTTTCCACCTGAAGCAGTTTTTACGTCTCCCCAGTGAGAGGAGGGCATTAGCTGGAGCAAATACACCAGCTTCTCCCTCCAATGAGTCACAGATCCCCTGAAACCTTTTCATGCTGTGAGCCATTGATTGACTCATTTGTTTTACCCGCCATCTGCAATTCATTATCTCTGCTGCCGGTGAAAGGATATATTGCCTTCTCAGAAATGGCTTCTTTTTTTGTTGCATTTATTAAGTGACTGATGCTCCTCTGGAGGACAGCGCCCTGCGGCCGGCTCGCACACCTACTTGTAGCCGCTGAGAAGGTCTGTGCAGGTGGCGTTGTTTTTGCAGGGCTGCGATAAACATTCATCAATTTCTTGTTGGCAGAACTCCCCCTCCCAGCCGGAGTGGCACACGCACTCATAACTCTGTCACACACACAAAAAAAAGGAATGTCATTATAATATACTGACACCTCATGCCTGCACTTGTCTCAGTGTAGTAATAGAATACGATCTGCACACCATTAATTTAACTAAAAAGTGAATACATATTAAAGCGGTTAATTAAGTTGTTATGGAGCATTCAGTGGGCATTTTAACACTTATTTGGTTTACTCATTTATTTTAGCAAATGATGCAATGCTTAAATATGCTCAAAAATTTTGAAGAAATAAAACTCCCACTCACAAAAAAAAAAAAAAAAGCTCTTAGCTATTTAGAACTGTCTAAACTGTGAAAGTGTCAAGCTCATCTTAAATTTCCACATTACTGCCATGCAGATGTATTCCTCCTACCACCCACCCTCTGGATAAATTGCAGCCCTGCTTTCCCCTCCATGCCATCCAAGCAATATGGTATAAGCCTTTATAAAGTACACAATATACCAAAATGAATTTTCATAGACCAGCAACATGTAAGAAATATCCTGGATGTGATTGTAACCAATGTTTTTTATAATGTACATCTATAAACATATTTACATATATAGCTCCTGCCATTGCTAATCTTGTTCATTTCTTTATTCAGAGCAGTATGTGAACACCTTGTCCTTTATTTCATCATTGCAATCTGCATTATGATAATGAATCATGCCACAGGAGATGAATGACTTGTCTATTATTTTCCGAGGTAATTTAAATTCTTCTGAAAGAAGTCATATGGTCAAGGTTTTTTTTTTCAGGATTCTTCACTGCCAAGATCCCGTCTGAGGTCCCCGGTGCTGCTGGTTGAATGCATGCTAATCTGTATTTCATATACTGGAGGCGAGCTGTTAAACTTTGTCTGATATCATTTGTACACAGTGAGCCCTTTGGTAGTGTTGATGGGGGGGAAAATGCCGTCATCTCTTGATAAATTAGATACCTCCAGGAGACTCCTATTCCTTACCCCTGGCAGTAGAACATAATTTCATTTTGCTGCTAAGTCACCTTCAGGGACCGCAATTCTCCAAAATAAGCTAAAGCTCTGTGGGACACGGTGTTCAGAGAGAGAAATAGCTGCACTGTAAACAAGACTATGCCGAGAGGTTTCCAAAGACTGTCCCAATTTGAATAATGGGCGGATAAAAGAAAACTAGAGTGGTGAAACAGAAAACTATGACTCAAAAGATATTTGTCGAAATGTCAGTGTACACCACCTATCACACCCGTTACCCTTCTCATGCAGCACCCCTTTTGTCTTTGAATTGGGAAGATTTCAGTTATCCCCGAAAATGACACCGAATCTTCGAACCAGAGGTTTTTGATGCAAGTTTTGAAACCTTGTCACGGAATCCCTTGACTACTTCACATCGTAGAGGGAGAAAACAAGCATGTGTCCTTCAGTTATCCTCAAATTGCTAGTGTCGCACAAGAGGACAAATATATTGATGAATATTAGGTATTGACCATTGGAAGCCAAAAGTCCCTTTTGAATGACACAACATTAGTACACTGTGTTGTGTTGGAGGGGAGAAATGTGCAAAAACCTTACGCACGGAAATTCAGAAATACAGCTTTATGGGGGTGGGATTGGGAGTTTGTTTGACAATCTATAATATAGCTTTTATTATGTTACACTATAAACCATTAGTGAACAGTTTCTAAGGTGGACGTTAACGTGGCATTTGTTGATTTTGTCTTTGGGACCATAAAATAATGAAGTGTTACTATGAACTGAATACGCTTCCTTTTCCTCTTACCATGTGGATCCTCTGCGACTAACAACAACTTTTGTTAAATAGAAGTCATCTTTCTTATACACACTACGCCCGGAGTACAAACCTATTTTAAAACCAAAACATTTGGTGTCCGAATCAGTCTTGTCTGAAGGAGAAAAACTAATTTCATCTATGACACATCTGCTTCACTACTGCAATCTGTTACCAAATAAGCAGCTGTTGGAAAAATACCCCTGGTCATTGCACAGTTTGTAAGCAGGACAAACTCATTCAACGCACTTGAATAACTACAGAGGTAAAGCTTTTGCCTTGCAAATGAACTAACGTCTTAAAGTCATTGATATAATTAGACGATCTTTGATGTTCAGGCCAATGATTTCACAGAATTTGTTTTCATTCATTATTTCAAAACGGCATTGAGAGAAAATCCACAGAACCCTGAAGCTGGAAGGCAGAACAGGACCGTCCTGTTTTTCTTACCACTCAAGTTACATGCAAACTCAATAGCTACATTAGCGTCGCTACAACAATGCACATCGCTGCAAATATGGTGTATTTTCCGAAAGAGGAGAAATGATGAGCGGCCATTTTAACATTGGACACATGCCTTCAGTGTTGTGTCTGTGCGAATGCATCGCATAGCCAGAAAGGGCAAACAAATGTAATTCTGTGGACAGCTTTGGAAAAATTCTAAAATGCAGTTTTAATTATGGTGCTTTTTTAATGAAGATATTTTTAAATATAACATTTGATTGCAAAAAACAAAAATAGGGACGACTTAAGAACACAATTCAGGTTTAACATGTCACTTTAAAACTCCAGTCTGTTTTATCCAATATATAGTAACCTTTCATTCATTCGAAAACATTAACAGCTCAGCCCATGAGGTATACATGTCCCATTTCGTATGATTTGTCTGTTAGTACATCAAAATAATGAGGTGCATGCATCATACATTTCTCTTTTCAGACTAGTTTCACGGAGACACCTGAACATACTCTTATACCCTCCTGATAGCAGCACGCCCAAGAGTCATGATAGCCATATTTCATCGCTTTTTGTGTTATTGCACAGTTGTTTATATTTTACTGCATCAGATATACTTTCAAACATTAAGTTGGATGACAGTCATCAAGATAATAGGCGGAGCCTTATGTGTTTCTGGCCCGTTAATATGTTAAAATAAACTGAAGAGCTTTCCAATGAATTACACAGTGGTGATTTACAAGACATTTGAAAGACTTTTAATAGCCATTATATCAGGCCATTATACTGCTAAACTAAGAGTGTGTCTTCTTACCAGATGGAGGTCCTTACACATGGAGTTGGTGCTGCACAAACTGTTCAAGCAGTCATCAATGTCTTGCTCACATTTTGGTCCAGCGTAACCCGGGTTGCAAAGGCAGTAAAAGCCATCTACAACTGAAACCGGATCAGAAGACAGTTACAGCACCTCACATAAAAAACATTAATGCACCGTGCTCTCAGTACAACACAGGTAAGTACTAATGTAATCACAGCTGTACTTTACAGTCACAGTTTGTAATGGCTGTGACTATTAAAATAAACACCTGGTGCTGTATCAGTCAAACCTGTTGTAGCTAAATCTATGTGACAGGTGACTCCCCCCCCCCGCCGCCCGCCCGCCTCCCACTCTGCATCAGGAGATTGTCAGTAAAGAGTCTGAATAAACCGCTCTGCATTGGCCAATAAGTCATTTTTCTCCTGCTTTCCTCGTTTCCCGATCTGTACTTATACCACTCTTCCTCAACGAGAGCCTGAAAGCTTCGGCATCGGATTTCACTCAACACACTGAACGAGCGGAGCAAAAGTACAAAAATGGGAATACGCCCATTTGGCGCGACATTCTTGATTCAGATGTCACAAATTCACCAATTTCTTCCATCAGAAGTTATAATCAGTGGAATAATCCATTCCGGCCTCTCATTAACCATTAATCACGTTAAAGTGGGATGCATCGCTCAGTTTCTCTAACACAACACTGGTGCACAGGCAGCCAGTGACAGAGGTAATTGCACTTCTTACAGGAGTGAATTTATTACTTCCCCAGTCAGGGTCCCAGGATTCTTCATTATCCCAAAGATTTACCACGTAATCTATGCTGTCACTCTGTCTCGGTGCGTGTAGCTGCTATTACTCTCATTAAATGCTTAAGGTCCTGGGTGGCAGCAGCATTACTCATCTCAACCACTGTGGCTATGCAGTGCTCTCCCTGGTGGCTGGCTGCCTGCTGCCTGCTGCCGCTGAGCTCCAGCCAATAGGTCCTAGAGGCCCGCCACACTCACCTAAGGTGAGCTGGCTGCACTGGAGATTAGTCAAGACAGCTGGCCGCGGTCTACTGCAGCACACTGAAGGATGCGGTGCTCTCAGCTGGCAATCCACTGCCATCCCTCGTTTTGTTCCGGCATAATCCAGTTAAACTAACTGTGGCGGAATTTGTAGAAATGTCCCAAAGACTAGGCTGTATTAGGACAGTGCAAATATTTAGCTTTTCAGAGAATTTGTACGTGGCACAACACAAAATAAATGTATTGCTGCGGTCTAAAAATGTGCAGTATTTGATTTTTATCTTAACTTTTAGATTTTAAGAGGTTGTAAAAACAATGCTGAAGACGGATTAATTATAGGTCATTTATTATCCGATGGCCACGGAGGTCCACCAATATTTTGCCTTTTTATAGTGTTATTCTTTTTGTCATTCATTTTTGAAACTACAACAAAGCACTGATACCTAATTGATTTACTTCTAGAGTTATGTTAAGGAACTAATCAAGCCCACTTCAGCAGATGCTGTCCTCGATCCTCACATCAGATGGGATAACTTCACAACACTCCTAATAGCTGCAATGTGACCTAATTGAAAACTGCCTGTCAGACTAAGTGAGCAGAACTAAATTTGACAGATGCACAGTGTGTGTGTGTGTGTGTGTGTGTGTGTGTGTGGGAGGCTGGCTTCCATTTTGAGTGCATTTCATTAAGCACGCCGGCATAATAGGTTGTTTCTTACCGTCGTAGCAGAAGCCGTGAAAACAGGGGTCGGAGCTGCACTCGTCTGTGTTGGTTTCACAGCGGGGGCCAGTGAAGCCACGGCCACAGCGACAGCGGAAACCCAAAGGGAAACGGTCCCGATCAGACTCCTCAACACACACCGCGTCATTCTCGCAGGGATTGCTGGCCTCGCAGGGCAAGAACTCACAATCGGGACCTGGATTGAGGCAAAGGCAGGGTGCTCATCGAGCATACAACAATCTCTAGAAATGCAATGGACCTTGTTATAGATTATTCCCGAATTCTACTTGTTTCAGCAGATGCTGATCCAGATGTATTTTCATTTCAAACAACTCCTAAAATTACACCTGTAGCTGTGCAGCACTCTATTTCTTACGAATGCACGCACTGAAAGTTAGTTTGCATTATTAGACTAGAGAAACACTGAAAGCTAATGCAACAACTGTTATAATAGTTATACTGTATATATCTGTATTATTTAATATTCCTGTATAGAATGAATCACACATTACATAATAACATGTAAGAAATTAATAACATGGATGTACAAAAAATGTTTTCTTCAACAAAGCAGTGAAGAACATTAATCAGCCCAATGCGATGCCAAAGTCAAAGGAGTAAAAAAAAAAAAAAGTAAAATGTGCAAAACACAACGTGTTATTGTCATTCTAAAACGATGTAAAACAAAAAAAATTCTAAAGGAAATCCCAAATAATTTGTTGTTTTTTTTGTAGAGGAATTGCTGAACCCAAATGGGTTCTCCCAGTTTTAATCAAAACAATATATAAGGCACATCATTGCTTTGGGCTGAGCCAGCAGGTTGTTGTAGCCAAAGCTGATTCAATTTCAGTCCTGACTATGTCAGCGAATTACAAATTAAATTTAGCACTTTAATATTGTGAATACTTCAAACAACAACTTGCCAGTAATACACTATGTTGTAAACATACATTTTATTGATAGTCTCACGGTAAGTCATATTGATCTCAAAATGATCACACACGTGTATTACATGATGAGCGAATAAAAACTAGAATTACCACGTCTTGGTTGAAGGCCTGTAAATTCTGGTCATTGCATTAAGTAGGCAACTCGATGAGGCAATAGTTTGGTTACAAACACTATCCAATATCTCTAGTGTGAAAGGATAGCGAGACATGCCAATCGCAGTGAGAATCAACAACGCGTTTTCAGTACTTTTCGTGTCATTGTGGCGCTCACCAACTCGTGCTATGGCTGTGTGTTATTCGGACGCTACTTCTTTTCTACAATTTGCAAATTGGGAAAGGTGTGAAATTATTTTAAGTATACAGTTATTATACTATTAACTATTAATTAAGTTATTAACTGTATAATATACAGTTATTGCCGCATATGTCATGACATACTGTGCTGTGCTAATTTAATGATCTGAAATTGCCTCCTTCAGAGTATATTTGTAATGGTTTGATTCACAGCTTCCTCCAGCTTCGACATTAAAAAGCAAACCACCTCAGAATGTGTTCATTTTCCCTGAGCCGTCACTGGCCTTTGGAGTGAATTTTTATCATGTGTGTGTGTTTGTTTCAGGTGTCCTCTCCTCCAGGCCACTCTGCCATGGAGCCTAGATTAGTGAAGTCCCGCCCTGACTGTTGTCCTTCCAGGAAGATCTCCCAGCCAACGAGCTCATTACATCCGTCAGTGGTCTTTGGGTTTTGACCAATGTTCTTCCTGAAAGTTGCTTGGTTTGTTGGGATGAGTGAGCCTACAAGGAGTCTGGCCAGATTCACTTTCCCCTCCCCCCCACATGTATTAATGATGCTGCCTTTTGTGCTCCTGTGAAATCCCATTTTTAGAATTGCATCCACTAACAGTTCTTTCATGACAGAGTCTCTACTCCGAAATGGACAGATAACAGTGAAAGTCTAACAATGACAAATAGCTTGTGCTTGATGTGAATTATATTGCCTCCATTACTAAAAGGGGCCAGAAAACTGCAGCGTCAACAAATAAACATCGTTAAAAAGGAGGTCAGTTATGATGTTTTATCTTTGATTATTTTTTATGGAGGTTTAAGTGGTGTTTTACTGGCTTCAATCTACTTAACAAGAACAACATCTGAATAAATGGGCCTGTGCCGATGAGAAGGTTTCGGGACAGAGGATCTCGCATGTGTGCAGATTGTGTCCTCGGAGGCAAGACAAAATAAATTCAATTACATGCTAATTCAATCACCTTTCAATTCAAGTAACACATTCCCATTATATTTATCACTGATAAACTTGTCAGTTAACAATATATAACTAATTAAATATTTTGCTAATTTCAACAGCGAGTGATCATCTGCAGATGATTAAACAGGTGAAAGCAAATAAAAATAGGAATCAAATAAAACATTTTTAAACAGCTTCTCGTGTCTTGTAAAATTTGAACTCAAGAGTAAAATTTCATTCAAATGGTGCTTCGTCCCAAATCACCCATTAACATTTTAACTCCCACTGATATGCGACGATGGTGCTGTAGTGACGCTGGCTCGATCATCTGACTGCAGGATGAAAGTCGTCACGAACGGCAGAAGCAACCACCGTTGCTTACAGCGCAGTAATTACTCAAGCTTTTTGTATTTAACCAAGTACAGGTAGCAAATGAAGATGTACTCATTTTGTGCAGACATGTGAAGTGAGTTCAGACAGGTGAAAATCATAGTATGTGGAGTTAATTAACTTTCCTTCTTGTCCCCCATTCCCTCAGCGCTCATTACCTTTAAACGGAGCCACACATTGGCAGAAGTAATTACCAGGCAGGTCAATGCAAGCAGCTCCATTCTTGCAGGGAGATGAAGCACAGTCGTCAACGTCACGTTCACACGCTGTACCTTTGGGAAAGGAGAACACGGACTGATAAATATGTTATTTTATTGTTGGCATTAATGTTTGGCCGTTCCGAAACATTCCGCGTTGAAATCACAACACACATTTAAACACAGAAATGGTTCGTCAATTATGGTCTTGATATCACAACAGACGAAGTGAAAGCTAAAGGTACTGCTTCAGTGTGGTGCCACAACGAGGTATGAACAGCAAAAAAACATTCTCGCAGCCTTTGCACGTATGCACTGCACTTATCGTTCATACAAAGACACTCTTCACCAGAGCAAAGGAAAGACATAAACGTACCCGTGAAGCCAGGCATACAGGCACATCCATAGCCATGAACAAGGTCGACACACGTGGCGTTGTGCATGCAGGGTGAGGATATGCACTCGTCTATATCAACCTCACAGCATTTTCCTGTTAAGACATGAGGTTTAAAAAGAGACCGTGGTTGAAGAATTGCATTGGTTAAAATAGTGACTATAAGCAGCAAAATTATAGCGGCCCATCACAGACACACCATCTCCATCGTCCACCCCCACGGCCATTAGCCTCTTAGAGTCATTTAAGGTGGATTTCCCATTAGGAATATTTAGGCCTACTTATAGGCTGATACCCATGTTGAAGCGGCTTGAGTCTTCTGTTGGTGTATTTTCGGTTGTTATGTTGCATTGGTCATAGTTTATGTTGAGATTCTGTTTTATGTTTTTTCAGGTAAGACTTTTATGTAGGTGATCGACAGGACGGTCGTCACGTTTTGTTCAGTTTGCGGTTTCAGGTCTGCGATACTAAAAGTACTGCGGCTCTCATTTATAACACTTTATGTATCCTGCTCAGTTTTGCACTTTGAACCAAGTAAAATATATATTGCGATTGACTTAAAGGCTCTTTGAAATATAATGATTGGTGACACCTTAATTCCCTTGGAGGCAGACGTTGTCAAAAGAAATAAGTCACTCTGATATTCCATGTGCACATGGAACAAACACACATTCATTATTATTCTAGCAAACTTAATTCAACACCATTTGGATATCTGATGAATTTAAATGAAACTACCATCTTCTATCAATGTCCTGCACACAAACCAGGCTGTGATATTATTATTTTTTTTGCATTATCACTATTTCACACATTATAAGTTGCTGGAAGGTTTAGAGGAGGTACATAGTGTTAACTAGCAAAACCTACATTTTATTGCCTCCCTTCTTGAAGTGGAAGTTGGCATGAAAGTTAAAACACTGAATTTGTCTTTGGGCTAATGAGGATACCGATGCTAAATGTAGCCAAAAACTTTTAGATTTCTCTTAAAGAACCCAGGAACTTCCAAAGCTTTTTATAAATCTACTAACAGTACGGACAGTATCCTATTACAGCACATACACTGACACTTAAAACTAAAAACTTAAGTAATGCCAATTTGCTGAACATATGATGCACACAAAGATGAATCCTTTAGATGTTAATGACACTGCACTCTTTCCTCGGTCACTATCCTAAAGATAAACTTTACATTTTAGCCTCAATATCGGGGCACGCAACTTTGAGCAGCAAAAGAAAAGAAAATTGGCTTTTAGAATGGAAAATCTGCTAAATGCTTAATGATGAATCTCATCATTACGTGTTTAATCGAAGATACTTAAACAATCAAGCAGGCAGCCTGCAACACGTTAGAAGCAGAGATGATAGAAAGTTGTTGGCCTGTTCACATAAAAAATAATGTTGGCCTGATGGGATTTCTGACTAACTGCACTTCAGTAATAGGTTTCCATTATCAAAAGGCATCAAGCTTGAATGGAATGTAATCAAGAAAATCTTTGTTGCCATGAATTATTCAAAATGACAGCTAGAGTGTAGTTTATATATATTTAATACATTTACCGTGCCACCTGTTAGAAGAAAGTACAACAAGAGCTTTGATGATAAAATAAATATGTAAAGTGAAAGTCCTCAGATCACGCACCATGTATGAAAAAAATGAACGTTTAATGTAATCAACATAATTTATGACACCATTTGTAATGATTATTACTATGTTTTTGTATATAAATATATATATAAATAAAGTATTTTATATAGTAAAGTACTCTAAACCACTGCACCCACACACATCTTTATTTAACGACATTATTTATAAATTATTATGATTATTTGTTACAACTACCAAGTGTATCATTTCTGGAAAAACAATGTATTAAACTACTAAATAAAGTTGTACAAATATTCCAGTTTTATGACCCACTCACAGGTCTACAGTAAAATAAGTAAGCCGATTTTGAAGTTCTGTTGATGTGCATTAACAGTATAACCCTGTACCTGTACCCATATCCGTGTTTTTAAGAACACTGGGCAACAGTCACATTAAAGCTTCAGCAGTGTTGTGCAACCAGATACCTGTGATTCCAGGAGGACAGTGGCAGTTGAAAGAGTTGAGCTCATCAATGCAGGAGCCTCCATTTTGACAGGGCCGGCTGAGACATTCGTTCACTTCAATCTCGCAGTTATTTCCTTAGAAAGCATAAAAAAGGCGCACAGCGCGTTGGAACATTACTTTGTTGAAAAAAACGTCACTTCAACTTACAAAGAATAACTTTCAAGATAGCGTTTCACTTACCAATAAAACCGGGAGCACAAAAGCAAACGTAGCCACCGAGAGCGTCGTTACAAATACTCAAAGTTCCACACGGCTTTTCTTCACAGTCATCAATGTTTATCTCACAAAACCGGCCCGTCAGGCCTGCAGAGAGAAGACAATAAATTCTATTGGATTTCTCCAATCCAGGGGACAATGTCTTAAAGAAATGTCTGCCTGATGTGATACTGAAACACTGCCTTGTAATGATCTCTGGTAGTGATACAGGCATTATCATTTAAAAACAGCTGTAAAGGGGTTACCGACCTACAAAAGGACCCCCTTTACTACTGAAACAGTGAGTGAGGTGTTAAGTACCAATGTTTTACTACACCAACAACAGCAGGGAAGAAGAAGACTTCTGTAGGCAAACATGCAGCAAATATTAATGAGGAAGTGAAGGTGTCCAATGTTTGATACTGTAGATAACATATGAATTAAACTGACTGGCTGAGTTCCATATTGAAGCACTTACCTACATGATGGCCAATGAACTACTAGGATGTTCAACGTGACCAACTCTATACTTGACGACATCAAACATTTAAGAATTCAGATGTGTAATGTTGTCAACAATAGGGTTGTCGCTTGCTTATGTATATGGGATAATGTGTGGAACGGCTCCACGGACAATGAAATCGAAAGCGCATCCGGGCTAACGTTGTAATTACATTGTTTCCCAACGGAGAACACTTCAATGGAGTGGTACAGGGATGACACCATTTTAATTAAATTATTCCTCTGGATTCTGCAGAAAATAAGCTCTGGTAAAATGAAGTTAATTATACCAACAAGTTAGCAGCTTAGTTAGTAGTTCTTGCTTCCAAACATTGAGTGAACTTCACCAGGCCATGGTAATATATTGGAATATTTTTCTTTAGCTGGTGGTCTCCTGCACTTTTACGAGCAAAATTCTAGTCACCTGCAGTTTATATGGAATGATGTTATATTATGTGAAATGATTAGATGACATGTTGCACACTAATTAGAAAGGATTCACTATGTTAGGCAGTTGCTAAAAAAAGAAAACACTGTTAATGCTATGCTATTTATTTTCACATTTTGATAATAACTTCAATTGCTAAAATCCAGTAATTACCAGTAAATTATTTTAAACGGAATGATATGGTAACTTGTTAGACTTGGAATGAAATTGAATGCATTTTTCAACTGACAACAATTGAATTATTACCTTAGAAATACAATACTATGCATAACTATCAATTCATAACATAACTAACAATTTATTTGATTAAGAATGAGTATACGATTCGATCGTAAGAGGGAAAACACATATTCCATGCATCATCACCTCTTTGAAGTCTGCTCACAACCTGACCGGACGCACACATTTCACTGGCTGGTTTGTGTGGTTGCTTAAGGCAAAAGAGATCAGAGTCCCGCAGAGAAGGAAGGCACACAAACGAAAAGCATCAAACAGAGTAAGTGTGCTACATACATTCGTTGAGGAGCTACCTCCATTTGAGAGGAGCAGCGGTGAGCCTACCTGGTGAACAATCACACTTGAACCCTCCTGCTTGGTCCATGCATGCCGAACCATGTTGACACAGACCGTCAACACAGTGTTCTGTAAGTGTTTTGCAGTGCGGCCCAGAGTACCCAGGGTGACACACACATCTATAAGCATTTGCCAGCTCTTCACAGAAGAGAGTCCCCTCAGGGTTACAAGGATCTGACACACATGGGTTCACAGATGAGGGGCATTCATTGCCATGGTATCCTGTGAGAAGAGGGATCAAAGTAGTTATTGATGTGCAGAGCTACGTACGGTGTCCTCTACGCGTGGCAGACACCATGGATTGGGATTACACGTAAAGCTGTCATTGCCAGTGTGCTTCCTCTGCAGATTCACAAATTCTATCCAGCACGTCCCTGAAGGTTGTTTTTTTCCCCACCAATTTGCTGATTTGCGCACACGCTTTCTAATGGGATTCACTTTTTTTTTGAGGGTGATATCAAAACAGTAATAAACAACACTAATAAATGTCCACGTGCATTAAGGGCTGTTTTAAAAGAGACAGATTGATTAAATTAAATAAACCAAGAAGAGCACAAGACTGTGGTCAGGCTGATTATATAGCTTAGAGCTTTGCATGTTGCAATGCTATTGCAGGTTAGGTTGCTATTGCATGTCTGCTTTACTCAATGGAGTTACTGTGCTAAAGACAAAGCAATTTATTATTGTAATTTTCTTCTATTCTATTTTAATTTTTCTTAATTTAAAATTGATCTTACTAGGTTTACTCTAGTTTATCTAAGCTATGCCAAGTCCTTGTATGTGAAACCTACTTGTCAACGAAAGCGATTTCTGATTTATATAAGCTTGATTCATATATCAAAACTAAAATTGAGTTTAACAAAGAACTACCAATCAACTTGAGAAATACCTGGAGGGCAAACACATTGTATTCCCCCAGCTGAGTTGTAAGAGCAGGTTCCTCCATTTTTGCAGAACTCCACATCTGGTGCACACATGGAGACGGATATGGAGCAATTCTTACCTTCGAGGTGGATAAAGATTGTTAATTTATCCCTATAAAACATACACTTAAAAAAAAAACAGCAGCACATAACAAATATAGTGACACACCTCGAAATCCTGCTCGAAAAATGAGTTTGACTACATTGAGTGACAAACATTAACGTAACCAACTGTCAGGTGTGTGGTTTTGGGAATGAAGCCAGCGACACTACAGTGTAACTGCTAGGCGCACACAATGTAAAACATGATAAAGATGAAAAAATGCTGATAAACATGTGTTTGTAAGGTACAGATCAGCACTCTGTTCACCTGAGTCAGTAATACTGTATATGCAAGATTAACAGCACCTTTGATACATTTTGCCAACCCATATATCCTCTTTGGAAATTTTCTACAAACAAAAAGATATGTATACCTAATCAGCTGCAGTCACACTGCAATTGATGAATGAGCTGCTACACTCATCAATCTCCTCTTCATCATGTGATGCTTCAGATAACTCACCAGCAAAGCCCGAAGGACAGATGCACTGATAGTCTGCAACCAGGTCAATACATGTGGAATTATTGGCACAGTATCCATGGACGCATTCATCATAGTTGATTTCACAGTTCAGCCCCCAAAACCCTGGAAGAAGAGAGAGGGAGAGAAATCTCATTGAACATCTGTAAATACAAGACATGAAAAGATACTAATTAGTATCAAATCTCACGCAAAAGCAATTTATTGCCATTTAATTGCAGGCGCGTCATGACTTTTCCATTCAAACTCATTACAGCGAAACAAGTCCATAATATGGAGCGTAGTTTATCTGAGAAAATAATCAATATATTGTCATATTGTTCGTGACATTATGTTTCATTGTTAGTAACATTGGAATATTTTATATCCAAAAAAAATAAATGGTCAAAGTCGAAAAGTAAAAGAAGGTGCTGCCAATTTCTGACATTTTAGTCCCTCATAAATATATTCCACCGCATGGTCACGCTACAAAATGACTATCATTAACACTGTCACACACCGCAGCTACACGAGGCCCATGACTAATGCTTGCCTATCAGCACCATCGGTGCAGGTCAAATTCTCATCATTTCTCAAACTGACCATGGAACCAATTTCCACCTCTCACCATGTCATAAAATTTGACAATTATCCTGACTTCATTAAAAATGCATAAATGGCTTCACCTGCAATCAAGGTTTAATCAGAAGTATGTCTCACAGGTAAGATGTCAACCGGACCGAAGAAATTATTGGAAAAATAGCTGAGATTTATTCCACCTTAGTCTAATGATGTGTGCAACAATTTGTCATGGAATGAGTTTATGTGATTGGAGAAAATGTAAACCGAGCATGTAACTGAACGCCATGAAACAATGAAAAAAAAATGTAATAAAATAGTTTTTATGAATACAGTATTCAATCAACATCAAAATGCGCCACAAAACGTTGAGTAGTATATTGCTTCAACAAATCAGTTTACTGATGAGTTTCTGCTCGCTTGGGTGCATCGTGCTAATCAGAAAAATCACCTCGAGTTTGTTGAGGACACACTTCTGTTGACTCTCAACCTTCTATGGCTCTAAAAGGTAAATAAATTAACAGATATTTGTTGTTGTTATATTGAGGGTGAAAAAAAGAGGAAGATTGAGGCGAAGAATCTTCTCCAGTTGTGGAAAAGTAGTTGAATCCTCAGGACATATTGCACTAAAGGGAGTCTGCAAAATGGTTCATAAGGAATGTAATGTGCAGGTGTCTCTAGTTCAATAATGCTGGATGTGGTCTCATGAAAGTTTTAAAGTAAGATTTTCCAGCAGGGAAGTCTAAGGAATGACTTAAGTTTGTGGGTTAGGAATTAGTTCAAAGAATGTACATTTCTATTGGAAGCGTTGATTGCTTATTGCAATCACAATGAGTGGGATTAGTTGGATACATGAACGGGTTCAATCAATGTCTTTTTAATCTACATTTATTGACAGGAAAAACAAAATTGATCAGCTCACAACACAATCGAGATCGAATGATTGGTCCCCAACCACCGGGCCGTGGGCCGCTTGGTACCGGGCCGCACCACAGAAAGCTTATATATATTTTTTTTCTGAAGAATGTTTTATTTTGAAAATTGACCGGATTTTCTCCTAATTATGTGCGCTTGTCCCTCTGACATACTCCCCATGCGTCACCAGGCGTTTTTCTTGTCCTTTTACAGTTTCGCCGACCAGCGAACACAGAGCGCACTACTACCACGCCCCCCCCCCAACCCCCGTAACGACTACTACAGCACCACCCCCCACCCCCGTCGGACCTTCTCGACCGGTCCGCAATATATTGTCGTGACATGAAAACGGTCCGTGAGAAAGAAATACAAAGGGTGGGGACCACTGATTTAAAGCATTTTTCCAAGTGAGCATCACTCCACAACTGTACCTGCTTGGTTGCACACCATAAAGGTCCAACATAGACACATAATCGTGTGTTGTCTAAACTATTTGCGGATCAAATTGCGTTGCGACTTACCCTCTGAGCAGAAGCACTGATACAGGTCATCACCGTCCACACAAATACCACTGTTCTGGCAGGGCTTTGATTCACACTCATTGAGATTTACTTCACAGAATGACCCTTGAAACCCTGCAGTATATGTAAAAAAAGAAAAAATGTAAAGTTATCGGAATCCTTTTTAGCCTGGTTTAATCCCACAGCCAATTAGGATCGGCAAGACTTTGTTTTCACAAACAAAAGCTGGAATTCAAAGCTTGTATTGATTCAAAAAGCTTGCTGGGCACATGCCGACTCAGCTCACTGGATCATTTAATCATGTTTAATAAGTGCCAGTCACTGCCCTTCTGATTCATTGCATTAAACAAGCCAAATCCAGTGATTTTAAAGATCAAAGTCAATCTATACACAAGAGGAACCACATGAAACAATGAAAAATGCATCAGTGCACACGTGTAAACAAGCTCCCCCCCCCACACACACACGTGTGTCAGTTTTTAAGGCGCATTATTGCTGATGCTATACAGTCCGTTAGTGGGTTAACCTGTGGACATTTAGAAAAAACGAATAGAAATTAAATAAATGCGTTTTCCCCCTCACAAACAACACTGTAGGGTGATATAAAAACAACAACAATCAGACAAATACAGCTTCAATGCAAAAACCTGGTGTCACAAAAAACGCCTCATGCAGTTACTTGATGAAACGGCCTTCAGATGTCAAAAATACGTTTTGCACTAAAAGGCTGTTCCTTTGAATTATTGCTTATGCCAAAAAAATCTGCATGTGCTTTTAGTTGCACATTTTTATATATATATACATATATATAAGCGCTGCAGAAACTGCTCTTCAAGAGATTCTAATATCTCTAACATTTTCCCAGCGACATAAGAACAAGCATCAGTGTTTTACACAAACGCTAAATTCACCTTTCTGAGTTTATCAAACATTCTCAGTTTATGAAAAGTTCAAAAAGTTGTTCAAAATTAATAGTGAGGGAGGGTATGAGTAACATGCTTAGTGACAAATTAGCTTTGCATCATTAGACAATATGGATGCAAAGACTGCCGACTTGAAACATCCACACATGACAGCATCTCGCAGCGTGCCCTTGAGAAGAGCGGCCCGCCGCAGGTTGCTTTCATTTACATAAGAAATCATTCACAATCCTTCACTTTGACATCTTCCAAGCATAAGTGCAACAGGAGTAATGAAGTTAGGGTTATTGATTGGGTTACATGAACTCCTATGTAATAGCCATTCATTTGAAAGGAGATAGCGGAGGCAGTGTGGAGTCGACGGAATTATGATTGGTTTGACGGGCAAAGAAAAAGTCATTTCAAGTACCGTAACTGTATCCAGAAATAATGTGCAGGATTTCTGGTCTGTACACACACACACACACACACACACACACACACACACACACACACACACACACACACACACACACACACACACACACACACTGTACTGCCACCCTGTCACGTATAGATGCCCCTAACTTGTAACGCGTTTACCCCACAGAAGCTTCTCAGTGTCCAACCTCTTCCTCTTACTGCTGTGTTATCCAGCTACAGCTGTGATGACACGGTCGCCCACGTGGGGCGGAACAACAGGGTCTTGAATGACAGAGGACACAACCGTTGTTCCCTGCAGGAGCTAGGAAACTAATCTGCCTGTGGTTGTTATACGGTTATCTGGGTGTAAAAACTATTTTTGGGACTACTTTCTTAAAGCACAGCTTCGTAAAAGAACCAGAGAAGGACTCTGACGGAGATCTGATGAAACAGAAAAGAAATCTACTTAATGATCGATAGACGGCCAAGAAAACACTACCAGAATCTGGAATATTCTCTGTACAGGAACGTATTTCTTTCACCAAATCGACCTTGAAACCTGAGGAAGTGTTAATATGGCTGCGTGACGAATATAACACCTGTTAAAGGTCTCACCTCTTTCACACGTGCAAAGGACATTCTGTCCATCCTTGGTCTCAGAGCACATTAACGTATGTTCACTGCACAATCCAAATGAGCAAAGGTCAATATCCACCGAGCAATCTTTCCCCTTGAACCCTGCAACGACAATCGAGTTAACCGGTTAGTAAGTTCTGAATCAGATAAAAAAACAGTAACACACAATATGCAACACGTATATTTGCGGCTGTAGGTTTTATTTAGGATAGATATCTATTCTGTAGGGCATTAATGGGGGTATTGATTGTTCCCCTTCCCCGCAATCTACCTGCTACGCACTATGCTAATTGAGTGAATCATTGACAGAGACCCACCCAAGAAAACTGATCTATATTACATTTATCTGCCCCACCAAATGCTTGTCTGCATGCCACTGATAGATGCCCATGTCAATATCTATTGTTGTAAATAAAGCATGGACTGATGGTGTGACTGATACTCATTACACGTGTTTGTACAAACATAGATGACTCAAAGGGAGAATCCTAAAATAGATATCACACGGCTAAACGCATGCAAATTATATAAAAGGAGAAAAAGCAAGTGCATTTAATTATTGCATTATCATCACATACTATTATGATGTTGACAAAACATTGAGATTTACTTTGAGTCGCAGATTATGAAAAAATATGAAAAATCGCTCAGTCACTCACCGGCAAAGGAGTAAAATATTAGTAATATTAATTTTAACACATTTTTACCAAGACTAAAGCAACAGAAGATAAAAGCCCAGTAGCTAAAATAGATTATGTACTTCCCGTTACACTTTTTACATGATAACCTGCTCCCAAAGAGGAGTACTTCACATCAACACATCTATCTGGCTGTTTGACGACCTTCCAACTACCCTTTTCTCATCATATCATGTATTGCCCTGACTAGTTAATGGACAGCTATTGCCTCCAACAGAGTGTTGAGAAGTGTTTAATAACCAATTGTGCCTGCAATTCACTCGGAGGTTAATGTTGCGTGAAGGAATGTCACATTTACACAGTCACCATCTCCAAATGGGACTTCCTATTCTATCCGACAGCTACGAGCGGCTCAGCCGAATTATGCTTTTGGAAACAAAAAAGGCAGAAAAGGGATCTCAATGTTTTTCACTTTATCCCGAAATGTGCTACAGTAACAAGACATCCAATGATGTATAGTTAATACGTCACAGTACCACACTAAAGCAGAGTCCTTATGTACCCACGTTCAGCGGTTAATGATAATAGCCGCGGGCGGTGACTACTCCCTGGCAGCACCTTTTGTCATCTCTCATCGCCAACGTTCTGGTTTCTTCCCCGGGCTTAAGAAAGAGAATGTTCTTGGATAGAAATCACCAAATTCACTCGCTACGTTGAGGTAAATTTAGTAAATAACATGAAACAGATTATGTATGGATATGAAACCTGGATTTAGTGCAGTTCATTCCACCCAGAGCTTATATAGGAATAGTTTCTGGCTTTCTTTGTTTGGTCTTTGTATTCTTTAGCAGGAAATATTACTATTACTATTATTATTATTTAAGATTTTTCATAGCTTCAAGGCCACATTTTTACTGGGTCTCTCAGTCTCATCTTTAAAACCAGCCAAAACCACAACTGCAGAGATAAATTTCTTGCATATTTTGGACAAAAACTGTTGAATGTACTCAACAGTTTTGACCAGATTTGGATGAAAAACATAATGAGTCATTCTTGCAGGAATTGGCCACTGTATGACACACCAGCAACATTCTAAATTAAAACGGTTCTCACTTCATGGTTATGAGTCGGACTCATCAACAGTAATTTGACATTTCCGCCAAAAAAACATGGCAATCTAAGTAGCATGCTTTGATCAATGCATGTTTTGATGAAGATCCAGAGAAGATATTTGCATTTCTTAAATGTATCCATTTTAGATCATTTTTCAACCTAGGCCAAAGTATTGCCGCGAGCATCGGTGATGGGAACAATTAAAACAAATTCTATAACAATTATACATCACCTGGACAACACAGAAATACTGCACTGCAGCTGCAGACATAAAACGCTGGAAGAATCGGTCCGACCAAAGGACTGTAAAATAATCTGATTTGTAGGTAAAGAGCACAAAGGGAACCCGACAGACCATCTATCTAATTGACTTTTAGAAGAGATAAAGTGATCAGTAACACCTGTCTATAAATCTTTCAATGAAGTCAAAACAGTAATGGAGGCCTTACTGACACATTGGTGTTCTGTTTTTGCCCAAATCAAATTGGAGCAAAAGACAGAGAAATAATATGAGAAAATTATTTACAGTAATGCATTTCCTCTTTCCATAATGTCATGAAAAACACATCATGTAACATGATGATCTTGAAACACGTGCAGCAACGGTTTTAATGACTTCACCCACATTTTAATTTATTTAATGTGCAGTTAAATAGAGTCTCTGAGATAAGGGAAAGGCACAAAGAACTAACAACATGTCAAATAAAAGCAAAAAATATGGTGATATTGTTTCACTATATTACATTCAAACCACTTAAGTAAAAAAAAATACAAATGAAAAATACCCAGCACAAACCATTCAGTTGTTTTGCATTGATGGAATAAATATATAGAAAATAAGAGCAAAATGTTTCCATTGCCCAGAGCCAGAGTGTATTCTGGGTTTGATCCACACTTCTGTTTTGTGGATTTGTGGAATTATTTGTCTGTAAATCTTGTTCTGCGGATTGTGGCTGTTTACTAGTGAATTTGACATTGGACTGTGACATTCTGACTTGTGCAATCAAGGAGTGATTAAGTATTATATTACCAGAGCGCATAGTAAAAATCAGCAGCACAGCGAGGAATGCAACGCATCCCTCATACATTCTGATTGTAGCTCTGTGTTATAACATGTCTGACAAATAAAAACATGCAATGAGCAGTGTAACTTGATTAAAGAACAATTGTTAAAACCAAACCGGTTTGATTAGTTTGGTCATGTTCAAATCCATTAGTGCTCAGAAATATAGAAAAAAAAAAAGTATTTTATATCAGCTATATTGGTTGGTTTATAGCATAAATGCGTGAGAAGTAAACATGCCACTTATTAATATGGTACAGTGTACAGATAAAGTTACGCTTTTATATTTTTGCAAACATGCTCTATAATACATAAGTGGTTGGTACTTACCAAGAGGACAGTGACAAACGTAGTCATTTATCAGATCCATGCACAGGCCTTTATTTAGACATGGCTGCGACCAGCAATCATTTACATTCTCCGAGCAGGTCCTTCCTGCAGGTTAAGAAGAAAAACAAATAAATTGTACTTAATGTCACAGCAGCTCAAAAATCTGGTTTTACAACAGTTGTTGCTGTGGACACTTCATGTTTATTAAAAAGGTGTGAAAACCCTGTTCACAATAATACTACACACATTCAGTATACATTCATGAATATTTCCCCCGACGCTGAGCGGCACCTGGTTCATTGGTAACAGGGTTTGACTTCCCGAGTCAGCTGATTACGTCCGATTCTAACTGGCTGTGCATGTCGCAGCCTGTCTGTATGCAGAAATGGTGTAGCCTCAATTTTTATTATCCTCTGGGCAAAAGTTAGACAAAGAATTGATTCCAGATTTTACCGACACATTTAGTGGTCCAGCAGGCCTGCCCTCTGGCAATATTTCAGACCTCTTATTTCTCTATGAAGCAGAGCTCACACAGAATAAACAGCCGACACCCTCAGGCACTGCTGTCCACACCAAAGGTAATTGCACTTTTGCCATCAGGGCCCCATACACTGGCAACTGCTCTGTTAATCACGTACTAGAAGATACTCGCAGAATAGTTGTTACTGCTGACCAAATATATTGTACAACACACACTTACTTTGACTATGATGCCAAGCCAGATAGTAATGTCAGTCAATTACTTCAATGCGTACACATCACTGCTGTTCAATTTTGACATTTTTAACACATATGGACAAAATTGGTAACAGTCACAGTAGTATCACAATTATGCCAAATGCCAAATGTTGTAAATATGCATTATCTAACTCACAATATTGAATATGCCAGTTTAAAAATAAACATGCCAATTTAAATATAAAAAGTGGCATTTTATAAACTGTGATGAATGAATGCACACTGTCAAGCTACATATTTCCACATGTGGTTTCATTCTAAATAACTTCAGTTATGAGGATCTTATTTCTTCTAGTTAGTCCAATGAAAAGGGGCAAATATATTATTTTCATATCACTATAAATATCATTCAAATGTGTAATGATTTACAAAAAAAGAGATTACTTTGCCAATTCAAGCAAAACGCATTTTGACAATTAAGAAACTTATAACTCTTTCTAGTATATATCTTGATTTCAAATCATTCCATGTCTGGTAATTGGAATTTCCCATCTACGCGCATAACATACAGAGAACCGTAGTTGCATATTTGCCATTACCACTGAAACATTGCAAATTCCAAAGACAAAACTACCTAAAATGATCAATAAAAGCAAGAATATTCTGATGAACTTACGGAGTAAATGCTGTATAAATCAAACATTAACCCTACCCTAAAACCTGAAATTCCTGTTGGTGGCCATGCTAATGGCAGCAAATAGGCTCCCACTGGCATCAGATGGTCACATACCCTCAAACCCCGTGGGACAGCGGCACCGATAATCACTGATTAGGTCCACACAGGTGGCGCCGCTTGCACAGGGGAAGCTGTTGCACTCATTTGTTTCCAGTTCACAGAGCGACCCTTCAAACCCTGGGAAGCAGCGACAGGTGAAGTTATACTGCTGGTCCAGGCAAACACCACGTTCAGAGCAGCGATGGCCAACACAGTAATCAATGTCCTCTTCGCAGTAGACGCCGGTGTATCCTCTGGGACAAAGGCACCTAACAACAGATGAGAGAATTTCTTAACACGGAATGGAGGTGGAAGAACTCCTTCCACCCTGAAGGAAGAGAACAGTAAATGTCACCGCTTTTACAATCATTGACATTCTGGCGCCTGGACGGCCTGAAGACAATCAGAGATTTGAGAGCTCACCTGTAACCATCAATCTCATCCACACAAGTGGCTCCGTTTCGACACCAATGTTGAACACAATCATTGACATTTGTGCGGCAGTTCTGACCAGACCAACCAGGTGTGCAGATGCAAGTATAGCTACTGGCGTTGTTCAACAAACAGCGTCCGCCGTTGGCGCACGGCTGCTGAAAAAAAAAAAAAAAAGACAGAGCCGTTAGTTAGCCTCATCGGCATCTTGTATGGTAATATTTTTGATTGGGCTGTGCCCATTCTGCATGACAAATATACCCGTTATTTTACAATGCACCTCAAAAACATTTATTGCGCCAAGCTGCCTGAAGATGAGCTTCATTCCAGCGACATGGCGTTCTCATGAATACTCATCTATTCTTTTATACTGGATTCACTCAGTATTCCACGTAGCATCTACGTCCCGTCTAAAAATGATCAATGATCAGTAAGTGCTAAACCTCCCAAGACTTCTCTGCTAGCTTGTACATGTGCGTTCTGCATTCTGCATGCAGTAGAGGTGAAACAAAGGGGCCGAGGAAGAGCTGGCTGCTGGGAAGGTGTATATTGCAGACATCATGTAATTTCTGTAGGACGGCCAACACAGAGGCTTTCTCCTCAGTGAGTGATCTTCTCCATCTGTCATTTTAAGAAGCCCCGCTGTTTTTCAAAGCCTTTTCATTTATTTTACTTTTAGAAAAGAGGGCCGATCCATCTCTACTTAAAAAGGACCCCCACATTCAAAAAATCAAAACATTACAAATCTTCAATGCCACTCATCCATGTCAGGAGGCCGATGCATTTTTAGTCCTGTAAGTGTGTCCCCCTTATGCTTGCCAATAGCAAAATCCCTGAAAAACAATCACACAATTCCAGCTTTGTCTTCTTTAACCATGACTGCTTAAAAGCAGAGCAGATGTGCCGTTTTAACTATTTAAATATGAAGCTGACTGAATATAAATAGTGCAACGCGTATCGTTATTGTATTTAGTCAGTCAGGTCATAGGTCAAAATGCGTTACTTACACAAAATGTGGTTATTGGTTGTGTTTAATCCTTCTCAACTAAACCAACATATTGTACAGCTTCAGCACCAACTGTTTGCTCCGTTTAGGGATTATTGCATTTACTGTCGATCTTCCTGTGGGATTTACGCTTATTTCTATCCCTGTTTATAACAAAGGATTATACCACATTTCATCAATATGATAGTGAATTATTATTTGATGCCTCCTCACTTATGTCCTGGAGACAGTGAAATGAAGATTTCTATAAACGCCTGTGGATATTTCCGTGCTTATCATATTAGTTTGAACACACCATGACTTGTAATGTAATTGTAGTCGGATTCATTTCTTATGCCAAAGTCTCACCGTGGTCTTGGAAAGGCCAACCAACTAGATATCAATGTGATTGCACTGCTGAGTTCAATGTTAGTTCTGTGGTCTTACGGGACAAGACTGATTAGACGATGTGCTGGAACCTTTTTAAAATAAAAAAGGTGGAGAAGATCACACAAAATCCTCATTAATTTGCTTGTTATGTTTCTTGTTCTGATCATTTTGCTGTCCTGTTGAAATGGAAATATGGAAATGGCTTCAAGAGAAATAATCAAAAGATTAGGATCTCTTTAAAAACGTACAGAACTTAAAAGGACTACATTACAGAACTGCAGAGGAGGAGAAACAGTCCATTTCGATGTTTTTACCCACTTGAAGTGCTTGCGGGCAGGGTGCACGGCAGGTGTATTCAAGGCCATCTGGCAGATCCAAACACTGAGTGTTTGATGGACATGTATTGTCGGGTAGAGCACAAGCATCGATGTCAACTTCACAATTCTTTCCCAGAAAACCTGAAAGAGATGATTTGAATGAATGAATTACCCTTAATACTGAATGGGATCACTTGCAAACCCTTCTCTAGTTACTGTCTGTGTACCGGGGAACAAAAGGTCGGCTCTTCTAAGTATCTAATAGACAGGGCCAGAATTGGCAGTGGGTCCTTGTATTTCACTTCTGTCAGCCTGAATCAAAGTCTCAATTTGAGTTTCATTATTTAAACGTTTGCGTTGTGCTTGTTCCTCTCATTTTTCCCGTAATCCCTCTCTCTGAAAGGGGGTGAGTGGCAATCGGACAGTCTGCTGAGGACCACCACTGTGTCCCTAAAAGACTGCGGTCTGGAAAACCTCCCGACTAATTGTCGGGAGATTGTTGGCACTTCAAAACATAACCGGATGAAGTTCAGAGCAAAGTCAAAATGTCATTATCAATAGTAAAATGGACTATGAACCAACATAACAGAGTTCTGCAAGCTTTAGGAGAGCCTGAACTATGCGTCTGTAGACTTTACCCATGCGCTGTAAAGCAAATATTAAGTATCAAGTTGGGAATACATTCTTCTGGAGACGGGAAAGAAGAAAGTCTCCTAAAACTAACAATTCCACCCGTGTCTTAAGACTTTGCTTGGTACAGTGTCCACACTCTTTTCTTACATTTCACCATGAGAAGATGCAGCAGATGAGGCATACGAGTGGAAGAGGCTTAGGTTTACCGAGATAACAGATGGGATTTAGCAGCAAGGCTGGAAAGCCAGTGTGTGCCCAGTGGAATCTTGTTACCATAGATCAGTGGCCACATCTAGTACCAGTTTACTTAGAGAGTTAGGGATTCATGATTGGGAATTACAAAGGCAGCTCCAGAGGCAGCTGGATAGAGCAACCGATGCCTCTGCCTTAAAAAAAGAAAAGGAAAAAAAAGGCGCCAGCTTCTGTGCAAAGTATGGAAATCCATCTTGTGTTTAAAATTAGGAGCTACAGCAAATATCTATGTCAGACATCACTTTCTACCTAAACTGCACTTGTCTTGGGCTGTTTGTAGATATTAATAATCTAGTTCAACTTGATATTTGTGATGGGAGGTTCCTACTTGATAACCCAAATAACAGCTGTCAGCATATCTCTACATTCCTCCTACAACGCAGGCAGAGGGGATAAAAAAAACAAAAAAAAAACACTTCAGTTCTATAAAGTCTAAATTAAAAAGCAGTTTTCATGCTTTTAAATTGCCAATGAACATATACTATAACCAAAGGCTTTGTAAATATTTTAGGTCAACTAAGTTGATAGTCATATTTGTAAAATATTTTATTGTATAAAAGTATGATTAATTTAAATTTTTTTACATAGGGTTTCTGTGATATCATTGCACTATTCATTGATACGTTTGAAGAAAAGTGCCATAGGAAACGGATGAATGAATAACTCCAAGATATCATTCACCACCTTTTCAACCGCAGAGAGTTGTAACAGACACTTCGAGGGATGACCCAATTCATCAGCTGACAAAAATACCACACCGCTGCTGAATGTCACCTTAAATCAGGACTCAGGTGGGCCTCGCTTGAGCAGCTGATGAGGCGGACAAACTCATGTGCCATTAACACTGGCGTTGTCCTTCAATGTTTAATCGAACCAGAGTGAACAAACAGAATGTTTCATTACCATCAAAGTCATATTTCCCTGAAGAGCCAAGAAAACATTTGCAGGGAACAAGGTCTAAAAATAACTGCGGCTAATTCCTGGTAGAAAAATGTCATCTGGCCACGAAGACGTTGTACCCACAGTGTCGTTGGACTGTATGTGCAGTGAAGTGTTCCAGTAAGCCGGGCGATAACAATATCCGGTGTCTTTTTTGGGATGTAGTGACACAATTTAATTACAAAAACAAATAATTAGATTACTTCAACCGTCTCCCTCATTTTAAATCCTGGGGAACACGTTTCTGCTCTTCATTGCATTCAGGTCTGACTGGGGTTTTGCACCCCTTAAAACTGGCATTGGCCTCAAGCACATCCAAGCATTGCTGCATGGATAATTGCAATCAAAAGCTGAACATTTTTGGGGCCGTGTTTGTGCTTCAATATCATCAGCTTTTGTGAATTTGACCTTCAGTTAAAAATACGGCACAGTTCAAGGTTAAAATCGCCCAGGAAAGATTCACTGCATAAAAGCTAACAAGTCAACCACACAACCTACTACCACAAGGATTCCACTTAAATGTCATAAAAAAGCTCTAGTTTTGACAATAGCCCAACATACCTGCAAGACATTGGCATTCATAATGTCCTGGCAAGTCATGGCATGTGCCATTGTGCTGACAGGGACTGGAGTTACACTCGTTGATGTCAGTCACACAGTTTCTTCCTGAAAAAAAAGAGGAAACTTATTTTGTTTTTTGCATTACATTTGTTGCATTACAAACTTCACACAGTGCTCTTCATGAGTGATACCATATAAGTGTACTGTACTGTGAATCAGAAGATCGCAATCACATTACTCACTTGCCGCATCTGAGCAAAAGGATAGCCTGCCTAACCAGAAGTGTATTCTCTCATCCCCCCCATTTGCTTTTCCAACATGAACCCTGCAACACTTTCCTAAAGGACTGAGTTAGCTTAGCATAAAGACTGGAAGCTAGGGGAAACAGTTAGCAGGGCTCCTCCACAAAATCTGCCTACCAACAACTGGGAATTTATTAATTTACTAATTAAGATGCATCTCATTTGTTTAATTGGTGGAAGTGTAAAAGCAAACAAAGACAACCTGGAGTCTTGCCATCACTGTGATGTTCTCAATCTCTGCACATAGCCAACTGTCTTCCACTGCTTCCAATTGTCATGCTAAACTACGCTAATTGTCTGCAGGAAGTATTTTTATGTTTAGCATACAGATATATTAGAATGGTGTCATCTTCACTAAATAGCTTTTTTATTTAGAAAATGAAGAGCCTTCTATCGACCCACGCGTCCCTTTAGGAGTCGTCTCCTACCCTTCGAGCATTTTATCTCCTGAAACAATTATTGGACCGCAGACATTCCTATAATAAGATGCAATAGGATTCAGGTGGTGAGCCCCTAGAATCACAAAGAGAGATGTGCATGGAAAGCCTCCCTTTCTTCTTAAGAAAATAGACACTTAATAACGAGCTTTGAAGAGGAGCAGAAGTGATGGAGGATGCAGGTGGCTCGACATGCAATTTGTTTGGCGCTCAGCTACCTGAGCAGCTACGACCTCAGCCGCTGTGGTTGGGGGTGGGTGTCTTCCAGTGCAGGTTATTAATTGAAAATGTCCTATCATCAATAATAGAGCAGCAATGACATGTCCCTTCCATACAGTGGCAACCTCATGCCACGGCACAGACATCATGATTGATATCAACTGCGCAGTAGCTGCTACACATCATTATATTCAAGATACGGCTTGCTGTATGCCTTGCTGTGCAGCAGAAGATTATACAATTTTGACCTACAAAAACGCCTACCATCATGTGTGACTGAATCAAAATACATTTTGTAGTATTGTAGCATTTTTTTAAATAAAATGTTAATTATATAAAAGTTGATATCGGCTTTCAAATGTTTGTGTTACAATGTCTTAAAAATCTAGATAAAAAGATCAGATAATAAAGAAAATTAAAAAACACTAATGTTGAAGGTTAATATTAATTGTTGTCTATTTTAATTGAATTTTGGGAAAACACCTCTTGCTGTTGTGCGGGGTAATTATTTTGGTTCCTGGAGGGAAATTGATTCTTGTTCGTCAGACCGTTGACAAAGTACAGAGGATTCCACAATTTGTTTTACAATTGTACTTCTGGATCTCTGGTTGATTCTACACTTGAATGTAACTAGTTTACTTTTTTATATTATTATATAAAAAGAGTACCGGTATATCAAAGAATGAAAAGTATTGTTGTTTTATGGGGGAAAATAAAGTCTTCAGAAAATGCCAGCGCATAATTAATTTATCCTGAGTTATGAAAAATTGTGGAGTACATTTGGGTTTCTGGGCAAAGCTTAACATTAAAATCGCCCTTTCTATGCAGCATAGATCTAAATTGCAAAGCAAAAAGAGATACAAAATTGATGAATTCTGTCACTAAGACCAGCCATGGTGTAAGAGACAAGTTTCCATTACCAATGTGGAAACCGATTTCAGCTTTGAACAAAGGGGAAGGAAAATCGTGTTCATATAGTGCTATGTAAGGGCTTATCTGACTGACAGGTACGTGTTTCAGGACTTAAGGCTGTATGTGGAAATACGCTGTCGGCCAAAACCTGTATATTGTGTAAAAAAAACAATATCACAATAACTGGTTGTTTGATTAAAACAGAAGCAATACTATGTAGGGCCATCATAAACCCTGTGCATCTTAAATAATGTCTAGCAAGGGTCACTATTTGTGTTCTAGTAAATTAGACTTTATGCACTGCTGCCTTAAAAACAACAAAAGACTAAATGGAAACATGTTTTATGTATGGTTTACTTTCATCATAAAAAAGCTCTCTGTTAATGTTTTGCATCAAACTCAAATCAATTAAAAGAATTCAGAAAATGTCTGCACGCGTTGAACATCTGCCTCACATTTTCACATACAGTAAAATCACATTTCAGCACGGAACACACACCTCTGCAAACCGCATTCTGCTGCCAAGCTTTGCCAGTTCCCCCAAATATCAAACAGTGATTCGTTGCCCCAAGACAACTTTCCACAACGATTCATATATTTTGAGAAGTCCTAGTCAAAGGGGACGGATTGAAAGGGGAAAAACAAATGATCAGAAAAAAATAATAATTATCTCACCGGTGAAGCCGAGGGGACACTTGCAGGTGTACTCTGGAGGAGACGACGGCGGACTTGTTGATATGCATGTGGCTCCATTCAAACAGCGGTTTGGCGTTATCAGGCAGGCATCACCTACGTATTGACAAAACTCTCCTATCCATCCTGGGGCACAAACACACTGCAGAAAAGCAGTATACACAAGTAGGTATTGGAGCACATGCATGTTCATTATTTTTGTTCATTCTAGATTTCAAATGAAAAGGATTTATTTGAGGGTTAAGATCACTTTCTGTTTTAAGACTAGTGATGTTCACCCTCCAAAGCCGTTCAATATTGTATAAATCAAGTTTCTGTTTTTCCCTGAGGCAGCATGAAATTGAAATAGCAGCGATTTGCACACTGCTTGTATTATGTGGCTGCAGATATATTTAAATATAAGTTGAGTATAAACCCAACTTTTTCACCTACATCAATATAATTGTTTTTTTTTTGTTTTTTTGAGGCTATGAGAACTAATGACTGGTGAACCGTGATCGTTTTGAAAATGAAAAACGATGGCCTCACATAGTAGATACACATTACATAAACTACTCAGAGGACTCTGAGCTTGGAAGGAAGATGTACTGCGCGCACAGTTTTCTACACAGCTCTTACGTTGATTTGGAATCAACAATAAACTTAAAATGATCAGTGTCAGACTATCTTTCTGTGGAATATCCTACACACTAGATCAAGATATAACTAAATTACTTACCTGATATCCATCAATGACACTCAAGCACAATCCCTCATTCAGGCAGTGGATATTGAGTAGCCTGCAGTAGTCAATTATTTCTTCACAATTCTTCCCGGATAACCCACGCAGACATCTGTTATGATAAGACCAGTGTCGTCATCAAAATCTATTCAACCCAAGCCTCAGAAGTGAGAAGCTATGTATTTTTTTTCCTTTTGCCAGATACGTGGTGTTATCTTTTGGTTTTCTACAGTAATTATTTGTGATAGAGAGGTGTATGAAATGATGTCTGCAAGTGTTTATGACCTTGACTGCCAAAAAGGTGGGACCAGCGCATCAAAACATAGAACATTAGAAATCACAGATCACGCTTTACTAGAATCATAAAAATCAAACTCGTCATTTCGCTGATTATACTGACTAACATGGTGAAAACAACATTTACTTGATTAAATTCCGTTGTTTATACTTCGTGTTAAAAATACTATATAATTCAAAATGCATTTCTTTTAATGGTATATAAAGCCCCCGTAATGAGAACAATATTGTCCGCTTTATAATGATCTTGTCTGGGAGGCAGTACCAGGACTTATGTGTTGAGTATTTAAGACTTGTGATCTGATGTAGTATAATGAGTGAATCTGAAGACATCAGCTTGGATAGAGAAAACCATTTTCACGGTGAGTCACCAGAACACATTTCTACTCTGTCAAGACAATTTGAATCCAGCTAAATTGAGTTGCCGAGTGTCATTTCTTATCTAAAAATGGAAGGCATTTCATTTTTCACTATTTAACATAAAAAAAATAAAAAAAACTTCCATACAGTGTGCTGCACTTTCTCCCAAAGACATTCTTAGTTCTTAATTGGAATATCCATTTTACTTCCAAGTATATATTTTCAGTTAATGTGTTGTTTTTTAGCAAATGTCATTTAATTAAAACAGGAGGGGACTACTTGAACAGTATTAAGAACTACAGGACTATTCTCTATTCTATTGTCATCCATTAAGTATTAATTAATTAATTGGTCTGTGGTGTTTTGATGTGAAGCGCTTTTGGTTGCTGACAGTAGCAAACGACTTACATAAATGTTTGTACGATAGACTTAAAATAAGCAAATCATATAGTATAACTCACTGATATCTTTTATTATGTAGTTTTTGACCAGGTTACATTGACAAAACCTGCAAATGGGATCTGTGTTTTGTTGCTGTTGGTCTTGACACGGGATTAGTTGGCAATATGATACAGAATACGAGATATGTAGAACATCACCAGGCAACAATAAGCCTTGAGGTCTACCAAACGTGTATGTATTTGTCATAGAGCTTGTAAGGTCAATGAACATTCCAATCCCATAGAGTGACATTCCAGTCATTTACAGAAGAGTGCATGCCTGCCGGCGTGTGTTTTACCTGCAGATGTAATCATTTCCCCTGGACACACAGGTGGCATTGTTAAGACACGGTGATGGGCTGCACGGGTTCTGCAACTTGCTGCATTCTGGGACCCCATTAGCATCTGCACAGACACATTTAGAGCCCTGCGTACAAAAGCAAAACGAACCAGGTCATCTGGCAGCTTGGGAAAACAGGGTTCGATTGACCAAAGTGGTTTTACAGATCTCTAGTTATATTTCATTAAATGCATGTAAATAATGGGATTTACATGCACGATTTAGACACAATAGGCTAATAAATATCAATGGTGATGTAATTCACAGTTTGAATTTCACACAAAGCTTCGAGAAAAATATATACACGTTAAGCTGCAACAACATATATCATTATTTTGATGAATGTCCAGTTTAATCTGCTCTACTCTGGTATTCTTTGGTTAGCTGGGAAGATGCAGCACGTTTGGAAATCTGACAAACAAAACAAATGTCAGGGAATGAAAATTAGACTATTATTGTATTTTCTCTTGTGCATCCTCGAGAACATTAGAAATACTACTGCTTGACAAACTGTATGACCACAATGGCTTTTCCAGTGCAAGCTGAAATTTGCAGCCATCGTCCAATTACGAAAAGCTTTTAATGAGACATTTTAAACTAGCACTTAAACATGCACCAGATCATTTAATCAAGATGCCGGAGGATGCATCCACTTTGGGCTCATCTTCAGAAGGATAAATTAATTGCTGTTGCAGTCTTCCGCAAAAAGCTATTTAATCTTCATTCAAATCTTTAAATTAACTTTCATGTGCCAGTTTTGGTTTACCTCCCCCTGAAAGAAAACAAATAAGGGAAAGTGTCATCCTCACATGCTCCCCTGCAGTACAAAGTTTCTCCTGACATGCGTGTGACATGCAATCAAAAAAAACTGGGTAGTGGCAGTAGATGCCCCCAAATCTTTCTGGACACCGACAAACAAATCCTTGGGGGCTTTCTTCACAGACACCATCATTTCTGCATGGATTTGGATCACAGGGGGCTTTCCTCTTCTCACAAGGTGGGCCTGCAAAACAACATAGCACTTTTGTTCAGATTGTATTGACATCCGGAAACAGCCTGTCAACTGGTGACATCGTCACATTCTACATAAAAATATTAAGTAACATGGCACAAGTATGCGATAACGTCAAAGCTGTTCCACTGAGTTTATGCCTGAAAAGAGGTGACTGACGTGACTATAATCCATGGAGGAAGGGGGTCACTGACTATCAATGATTACACAGGATGGAGGAATGTGCAGGACCACTAATTTAATTGTGACAAGCACAATTAAACTAAAAGGCAAGATCAACAGTAAACGGCATCATTGTTGTCAGGCTTCTATGGAGGCCTATGATTGATTATATACTATAAAGCCTAATGGCCCATTTCAGAAACCTTCCTACTGAAGCCAACAAATCACACCAACTGGAAAATAAGCAAAACCAGCAAGACGTTATCAAGCGTATGCAAATAGAAAAGACAAAGAAACATCACTTAAACTCTAGAAAACAGCCTTCAGTTCTTTAGTTTATGGCACTGTACGGAATTTCTGTGGCAGACTAGTTATTACAAGAAAAACACGATTTATGATTTCCCAGTTCACTTAAGGGAAACCAAACTTGTAGTTGGAATCAGGGCAAATATTCCGTACAGCTAAAAAAAATAAATCATCAAGTTTGGTTCACAAAAAAATGCAGTTTTCTCTGAAGGCCATAAACAGGCAGTTGAGTGGGCTCCTTATGTTTTTCTTGGGCAATCTCAGTAATGCAAAATGGCTTCAAACTCGGGGTGTCGTGTTCCACGGAGAGTGTTCGTATTTGTACTCGTTCGATAACTCATCAACCCGGTGAAGTCGGGTCTACTGTAGCATTAATTCAAATGAGCATTTAGATCAGAACTGTAATGAGGAACGACATTTGCTCGAGGCTACTGTAAACAATGCCAACACAACATGAAACACTAAAATGTGCAGTTGAAACCTGTGGCAGTAACCAGCGTCGTTTTTTTAAGGGAAAATTGTTTGCCATTACATAATATAATGTTGTCAATTTGCAATCATATTTGATTTGTTCTTGTTTAAGTCATTTGATTCCATTTCAACGGTTTTTGTTTTGTCATTTCATCACCTGCTCTGTGATGATGAACTTGCTTGAATGAGCAAATAATAATATTGTGGCAGCATTTGTACTATCACTATAGCGACATTGACAATTGTACTACTTTTGGAACACTGAAATATTCAATACTTCAGTGTATCTGTAAATCAAATCACCACTACTATGCTATATTATGCTATGTATTGGTGATTGATTTAAACTATGGACTCAAATAATGAACCACCTTCCAAGTTCAAAACTTGATATTTTGATTGTGTAATTAAACAGAAAAAATGTATATACTTCTATGCAAGGTACAGTTTCAGATAAAGTCATTGTGAGTATATAGGAAGGATTTTCATGGTGGGTTTTCACTGAACTGTACAATACGGAGTGAGTACTGCAGCCCGTTCCTTCCCAGATAAAGTTCTTCTGCACAAAGCTGTAGCCAGTAGTTTTCTAAATCCTGCAGAAGACCACAACGCTTTCACCAGCAGCAGCATACGCAGACTCCGGGTCATACCGTGTCGACATTGTATGCAAAGGATAAAATTAGACTGAATTCTCACCACGTTCAAGGTGAATAAAATGTGATGTTATTCCCTGGTGAGGGTTTTCTTTTTTGTGTTCTTCACAAGGTGCCTACCCATTTGTCTTTCCAGGGAGTCTTTCTTTGCATATTTTTTCTTTTAATCCCCCTGCTGATACGAGCGCTCCCGTCCCAAAGGCTTCTCATAGCCTCCTCTGTGGGCATCAATCTTACCGTATACAACTTCAGGGCTAACTTTTTCTTTATTTTACACCAGATATTGAGTTTATGAGCTGTCCAAATGCAAACTACTGTTTAGGAACACTTCCATCTGTTATATGACAATATATAGAGAGTCTAGGTTAATAGAAATACATATTTGTTTTGACTATCACTTGCATGTGAGCTGGCATTTATGTCCAACACCAATCTGTTAATCTCAAAATCCCTTATTACGTGAAGTAAATTGAATATACATAAACAAACATTGTGTCACTGTCGAATTACATTCTTTAAGAAGTGTAATGAGTGCATGTATTAACTGAATTAAACGCTAGAAAAGGATATTACTACTAACAAGATTGAAAAAACAATTAACCCTTGTAACAAATGGAAAATACCCTGTAAAGATGGTGGTACCTTGCCACAAATACCCTAGAGAGCGCAAAGGATAGTCAAATCAAAAGACAATCTCATTTGAAACGTCCCGTGAGTTTCGCTCATTATTCTGTGCGCATAGACTTTGGCCTTTGAGGGCAGACTGGCACTGGAGCAGCCACTAACTTCCAGTTGATTAATGAGCCAACTGCAGCAGGGAGGTAGCGGAAGCAAAAGCGCCACAGAACTCCCAAGAAGCTGATGGGACAGCAGGACACCATGACTATGCAAAGCACCCAGTGGAGCCAGCTTACTGCAGGCTGCAACGAGAATTAAAGTGAACTACATGCAAGCTGCATGGGCAGAGGGTGCATGCATCACCAATTTATTTCTAATGTGGATTATCCATTTATCAGACAACGGTTATTCGTTGCAAATGGTATTTTTTCTTTCTGAATTATACGCTAGTTCATTATTTATAGCTTGTCTGAAAACGTCTTAAAAAAATATTTCTTGAACTTCTTTTTTTTTTTTATCAATAAATCGGTGCTGAAGCGAAGACTTTTCTTTGACATTTGTGTACTGTTTCAGGGCCAAATACTCTGTCAGATGTTAACAATGAAGGAATCATTTCATACCAGTAACAGATATAAACTCTTTGTTTACAATAAAACTGAGTTTTAAATCTGTCATTCACGACATACAAATGAGAAAAGCATGATTGTTGCCTTTCTATAATCTTCTCCTTTGGGTGCTGAAAACATTGAATACCCAGTTGCTCTCCAAGGCAACTAACCTTCACCCCCCGTTCTGTACTTTCTTCTTCACTGTATAATGACTGAAAAAAGGATGCCAGCATTGGCAACAACCTTGAAACCCCTTTTACAAAAATGATAAGCTGAAAGCATCGGCTGGACACGAGAAGGTTGAGCTATGACTTCAAGAAAGCTGCCAGGACAAATTGTGCTCCAAACAATGAATCAAGAGCCGGAGCCACCTGGAGATTCTGCTCCTGAAAGTTCAATGCAGGTACGTTTTTGCGGTTGAGAGTTGGTATCCAGGGCAACCGAAGGAGTATCTAGGTCTTAACCCACTAGCGTTTGATAACCATAACTGTTAGTTTAGTAAATGAGGCTCACTACTTAAATTATGGCTGAAGCAGTATTGTCTCATATACACGCTCACTAGATCACCACCCAACGCTTGCACATGAGCCTCTAGCAACTTGCCAAAATAGCACTGAAAGGAACACAAATTGGCCGCTAATGGAAAATACGTTACATTTGCATCAGATTCCGTTTTGTAAATGACTTAAGTGAAGAAGCACCGGCATTCTTTACTTGGCTTGAGTTGATCAGACAATTAAAAGCATGACACACAATGAATACTCAATTTAGTATAAATAACCAAGAATAAAAAACGGATGTTGGACACTACCAGACGAGTTCTTAGACCAGGCAACTTTAAACTAACAAATATATGAATTTTTTACTAGGATAGCGAACAATATAAAAATGTCAGATTTAAAAATGCTCGGCAGAAACCACACTAAATTACACTATAATTGATTGCTGTAAGCTTTTGTTTTACCAACTGCGAGACAGTCGGCAGTTTAGCCCTGGCTTTTTACTATGTGACTTCACATGTCATGGTTTGTAGCGTGAGGTAAGGTATTGGATTATAGGCAGCTGCTTCATATGTTATGATGACAAATATAACATTGTAGGATGAGGAAATGCTGATCTTTCGAAAGATATGTGGCTTTTCAGTTTTCACCCATGACCTTTTCCACAGATAGTTTCCCCTTTCAGGCAAATGACATGCTGGAGCGAATGAAACTAGGATCTCGGCCTGCCTTTTGTAGAAAGCATCAATAAAAACAGATTGTCAATCTTGCAGGGATCCCAGCTGTACAATTACGTTCAAATATTGTGTTTTCATTGTCAAAGTCAGAGGATCTATCTATATTATAACAACGAGTAGCTGAAAATGAGCTGCTTACCAGAGAATCCTGTGTCACAGATGCATCTGAAGGAGGCAGCCGACCCTTGAACACATGTCCCATTTTCACATATTCTTTCACAGTTCTCTCTTCCAACGACTTCAGAGCAGTTCATTCCTGAAATGAATTCCAAGTCACAGAGATACACAGATAGAAAAAGATGTGCCTGGGTTGGAGTGTGTATCGCATGTACAAAACCATTGCTGGTGCTTTACATTTGAATTTCTAACTGATAAAACTGAAATTATATCAGTGCTCAATAATATTTTTGCAAAGGAGTACACAATGGCCCTAAAGACCTTTAGAAAGAACTGATTTGGAATGCACATCGGGAGAATATTAATGTTTAAATTAGATTCATGCAACAACATTAACTTGATTTGTCTAATAAATATATAATTGAGAAAGTAGTTTGCATTACACTGGAAGTTATTTTTGCATTGTATAAATTACTCCCAACAAATTTGAAATGAAAACCACATCAACCAGATTACTCAAAAATGTACAAACTAGGGGCTTCTCCAGAGATTGGGCTCTTCATTACAGACGTAACAGCAAATTAAATCAGATTAAAAGGAAGTTCAGGGAGCCGAACAGTTGTGAACAGTAGGTTTTGCCTATAGATCAATGGTGCAACAGTGCATAAATATTTCTGTCCTTACCTGTAAAATGTGGAGGACAAAGACATTTATATGTTCTGTACTGAGGATCGGTGGATCCATTGCTCAAACAGACACCTTGGTTTTCACACGGGTTATCCATACAACCATCAGACTTCTCACAAAACGTCCCAGAGTAGTGGTGGTTGCAGAGACAGCGGTACGAGTCTTCCCGCAGGCCCGCTTGACAAACGCCGCTGCCTGAACAAAGGCGCAGCAGCGGAGAACCCTGACAGAGTTGCGCTTTAACAGACACATTGAGCCGTAAGCCGAGCCTGCACAGCTGCGCGTCTCCCCCATGCAGAGCGATGAAGTAATGGCGACCCGGCACCAGCCACTTAACCTCAACTTGCTCACTTCCGTTTAGATGGTGGGGGAAAAGAAGCTGATCTTTCGTCTGTCCAGTTGCTGCACAGCTCTCGAAGGCTTCTTCTGAAACGTTGAGGAGTCTGATGCCGTAATACTTCAGCGTCTCATCTGCAGACATCCACAGCTTGTCTCCCTGTTGCAGCTGCAGTGGGCATACCTGTGGGAAGCTCACTGGGTGACCAGCGGACTCCTCTCCTCCTTTAGAATCCCAACATTCAGACACGCTGCGGCAGATGTTTCCTATGAGGGTCCAATTCATTTGGACGGCGTGTTGCTTGGGGTGCCAATCAACTGAAGCTTGTCTTCTGCAAACTGTTTGGCAGTGGATTAGATGGACGGCCACAAAGACGGCAATTAAATTAAGCAATAATACTGCCATGTTTCCCCTGTCTTACAATTTAATACAAATCAATATGGGGCTCAATTTGTGTCAAAAATGTGTCGTATCAGGATTCATGAGACGTTGACTCCAAAAAGTCCACGTGATTGGTGATGACCTGAGGAACGAACAAAGATCGTGAATAAGGATTTTGAAAAGGAAGTAGATTCTACTTCTACAAAACATAAATTGATTGTGTATTAAGACTTTAAACTGAAGACTTGACGAACTAGTCTTAGAATAAACATGGTGCGTTCGTAATTCTCCTTCAGCCAGCCACGTTGCAGTTTCCATCAATGTCTGCCATCTTCTAAGCTTCACCCTATAAGAATTGTCAAATCCTCATTCTACGACCATCGCAGTATTGCTGAGGTACGGCCCTCTCTGAAACATTGATCTATGCCTTTATTCCCATTGGATTAAAACTACAAAATCATAGTCTTCACCAACTTCACCAACCTAACCCAACTTTTCCCAATACCTTGCAGACGTTTCATAACATCATGCTTCTGGCCGCAGCCACGAGCGCACTGCATTCATACTTTATTTAATTGTAACAAATAGAGCAGAGCTGCCATCATCATTTGCATTGCTGCTGACCACCAAGTGTGTCACAGCGGCCTCCCAGAGGTTTCTACAGAGAGCGACAACGTCGGATAAAATATTCCTGCTTCCCTGCCTGTGCCTGATACCTCGGTGTCATGCAGCGAGAGGAGTTCAAGCAGACAGCATTGTCTTTTTCCCTCAGGCCCGTTTCATCCATGTGCAAGAGATAAAAACAACAAAGTGGAGAAGCCCCACTGCAAGAGAAAAACTCTGCTCCTTGATCTGCTCACAAGGGCTGATATGAATAACTGCATGATGATAATAATAAAACGCTGAATATGGAGCAACAATATCAATAAAGGGGGAGTGATCGAGTGAAGGAGATTGCGAGGGCTGCGTGGGCAGCCATTCAACCTCATTCACATGAGAGGAGGTTGAATATCGCGTCTTACAAGCTAAAAGGAAGAATGTATTAAAATTCACATAATGAGAGCAAAACATCTAACTGGTTTATAACGGGAACTTTTGGAGATTTATTATTATTATTATACAGGCTATTAAAATGTGAAAAGATCATAACAACTTAAACACAGTGAATCAGAAATAATCATTGAAAACAAAAATGTATTTTTTGCCACGACAATAAAAAAAAACACCTGAATCTAATAAGCCCGTCAAACAATAACTGCTAGAAGAGTTTTGGCAACCGTACTGTTCAGTTGCTCATTCTAGTAATGGGAGTTTGGCACGAGTTCATGACTTGTGGCCAACTAGAGATATATTATAGATATATATAAAGAAAAATACAACAATGTAAATACATTTTTCATCTACTAAACACAGCAATCCCATTCCTGACAGAAGTCCTGTCTCGCCAAGATCTGTACTCCAAAGTTGAGACAACCATCTCATACCACCACGATTGTGACATCCGACTGTCAACGTCCAAAGAAGCATGAGGAATGGAAAGGGGAATAAATACAGGAGGAAATACTGCCCTTTTTTGGCCCCAATTTCCATATGCCCTGCAGGAAGCAAAATGGCATGCAGGACAAAAATGGTTTCAATTCTGCGCAAAAGATTTGATCCCAATTAGAATATTACAATTCACAACGAGGGAACAAATATTCAAATGCAGATTCATGATGACTGCAATTTGTACATTCTTCTTAATTATGCATTGGCTCAAATTCATTTAACCCGTTTCCACATTCAATAGTAATTCATAGCATTACATCAATCAATAGTATTGTCCTCCATGTAGTTAATCAAAACAAAAAGGATATTCTGGCATTTAAAGACGCTTTAAAAAAAAAAAAAAAGAAAAGGTATTGATCCGTCAGGATTAAACAGTGGCCCAAACGCTGGAGCGGTTCAAGTAATGAGGGCCAGGGGGTCACATGCAAGGTCATGTATCTTGAGGGTGGGGGGGGGGTCAACTGATGGCCCACGCACAGCCTACTGCTTTCATTATAGGTCAGTCCCATCAACATTTTAGGATGCCACTCACGCAGGTGTGCAGAGGGCAACGGATCAAGGGAGCCGTGTAAATCCCCGCTGGACTGATGACTGAGAGCGACACAACAAATGATCACATCAAACTCGTAAGCCGTCACACAGTGGACCACAGCTGGTGAAATGTTGGGTGCTTTCATCGACAAGCCGGTCAGAGGAAACGTAAACTGCCATTTCTTGGATAATCGATCCATCACTTGCGTCTGATGAAGTCGTTTAGTTTCTCAAATGCAAATGTCATTTTATTTTATGATAGTAAACCAAGTTTCTCTCCTTTTCAAAACTGCTGCTGGAATAAGTAAATTTAGGTGCTAATTCGACATTTTTTATTCCTACCGACTAAAACGTTCCATCAATTAATTATTAAAATACTTCACGCATCAGTTAGATTCATCTTTACTTGGAGCTGCGTGGGTTACAATCCATCAAAGATTAAGCACCACACACTGCACTTTACATAACAAAGCTCACAGAATACAGTTTGATAATAAACTAGGCCACATCTGAACACATTTGTGAACTTGCCATCTAATGAGAAAAATTTGATTTCTTTTTTTCCAAAACACAAAGTTTGGCTCATCACGCCGTGCACAGACGCTGATGAAGATTGGCTAGTGAGTGAGGCGCAACTGCTAGTTACAGTATGATGGCACTTATGCAAGATTAAGGACGCACAGGTGTCAATTGAGGCAAACATTGTTGAGATAAATAGTGCAATCTTTCTAGTGTAGGGTAATTTATCGTTAGGATTTCCTTGATTCAGAAGCTGGCAGGCCTCGACAGCTGCAGGGACTGAATGCTGCGTGTGTTTGCACCTTTATAAATCTCTTCAGCTCAATGAAGCAGATAAAAAGGTGAGAGAAAAGGATTCTCTCGTTTTCACTACAGACGAGGCAGACAGACTTTGTGACTGCCTTTATGGCATCCGTACATGGACTTCATATTAATCTTAAGATTATTTGGCAGAGATGACACATCGTTTCAGAGCAGCAGGCTAATTCCTTCTAGAAGCACAGTGCTTTATTTGTAACGAGTGAAAAAAATCTTTAGGAAAGTTAATTCACCTGAGAAAAAAAAAAGACTCCAATTGGAAACAGGCTTTAAATCAACTGGCACATAACTCGTTCGTCTGTCCACTCACTATTAAATAGTCTGTCAACAGTGGGGTGGTGGACTTGGTGGAGGATGCCTCATTTCAGAGTGTCTCAAAGGCAAAAAAAGGTTGACCGATATCATGAATGCATGAGGTGTTTCTAAACACATTTCCAAACAATAGCCCCTTTAGCTGAGATTTGTGATGATGCACCCAAAGCATGATTATCAGTTGATCGTGCAAAACACAATAAACCTGATATGCGGCATTTGAGCCGCAAACTGTGCAAAAATAGGTTTCATGTTCCTTCACCAGCAGGACAGAAACAGTCCCACTGAACCAATGGTGTCAGCCCGGAGCCACCGGAGAAGCCATAAGCCAAACACCAGCAGGCTGCTGGCCGCAGCCGCTGCCGACTGATCACTCGTGCTCCCTGGGAAGCGATCTGCATCACCGCTAATCAGTTAGAACACTGATGAGCGCCCGGAGCCTGTAACCCTGAAAACTAACCCCGTCTAAAATTGCCTCACTCTAAATACAGAGTAATTGAAGCCAATGAGAGATGGAAATAAAAAAAACATTTTAACTGAATTTTGATGGGTATTTGTGAAACGGTAACATTGATCTACTGGCTAATGACAAAAAGGAAATCTCATCTTTATGGAATTAGATTTCAGAATGGAAAGCTACAGTTAACATGTGTTCTTTCACCTTCACATAAAGGCATTTTACCCCAAAGAACCTTTCAAAATGCAATTGTAGGATGTTTCCATTGCAGTCATACCTCAAATAAGAACCATGGGTTGAATTAGGCCGGAGCCGGCAGCCGCAAAGCTTCAGCAGTGTGACTCCACCTGAATTGAGCTGCTCATTTTTTGTTTGAGGCAATGCCTTCATCAGTCACCAGCCCCCCTGTAGTGGAGACCAGTGCATCTCAAACAGGGATACGTGTACCCCTGCGGGTACATGAAGGCACTCCAGGGGATTAGTGAGATTTTTTTTTTGTTTTAACTGAATTTAAAATGAGCATTCATTAAAAAGGGTTACTCAGATGAAAGAGATATTTTTTAGGGGGTACATCACTCACTATTTGAGGAGAACCTCCAGAGCACCAATTCAAACAAGCACCGAACAACGTCAGCGTTGTTTTATTTGTAACACCTGCTCTGTGCTTCTGGGAATGTAGCATCTCAGTCACACAGCACCTTAAGAGCCCTGCATGAAGGAAACACTGCAGGTTGATGCCACGGGCTGTGGCTGTGTACTCATTATCCGGCGGAAGGTTATGTGCACCTGCAGACCAGAAAAACTGGTTTCCTCACAAATAATTGGTGCAAAAGACGACCTAGAAGTCTAATTAAATGTTTTTGTACCTTCGCCATCACTGGTCAAGCAGCTGCTTGGTATTAACACGTGCAGTCTTTTATGTTAAGAAAGTTCAGCTCACTTCAATCAGACAAACACACCCTGATCAAACCCCTTACCCTTCTCAAAGAAAGGTCTAGTGCACTCATTGGGGAACATAATCAGCTCTCTTTTGTTAAGATTTGCTATAATGTGTACTGAACCCAAAAGGGAGAAGAAGAAAAAATAACAGATCAACGCCTGGTAAATCTGAGATTATAAATATCTTATCAAAAGGAGAATAGAATTATATATTAATGAAAATAAAACTAATTATGCCCCGAGAACATATGTCATAGCTTCTAATGACATAAATGGGAAGACACATTAGTCCATAGTGTATTGACCCCAACTTTCTAGAGATTTGTAATTTTCAAAATACATAAGAAATAAAGGGCCGTGCCCTATTGTTAATCGTTGGGAAAATTTGCTCTGCGGCTTGTTTTACCTCATCAAAATCACACTACAAGTTACAGATCACAGAAATCAACTAACTGAATTAAGAAGGCAAACGCTCCGGGGTTTGTTGCTGTAGCTCAGCGGCATTTAGCAGCACATGTCTTGTCACATCACTGTACAGCAGAGAGAAGGACGCAGCATCCTGTGTGAGGAGGCCTTCTCGTTCTATCCGCCCCATCGGTTGCGCGCGCGCGCTCCTACGTCGTTACGCCATCTGCCTTCACGCTCGTTTCCCTCTTGTGTTACTGCACAACTCACGTAGCGTGACACAAACTCCACAACAAACCAGGTGACCAAAAAAAACAAAAAGGCCCGCGGGTACGCAGGTACGTCATGCTCACCTGTCCACCTGACACGATCCGGGGTCTCAACACGCGGCCTGTGTGTGTGTGTGTGTGGGGGTGTGTGTCTGCCTGCACTAAACAAGAGCTTAGCGTTACGCGTCTGTCATGCCCCCGTCCTGCAAGGCCCGGGATTTGCCCTGGAAGTGTGGGGGGGGTAATCTGACTGCTAGAGCGCATTGGCAAACACGGACCATCTGCCCTGCCCCCACCTGCCCCCACCTGCCCGTGCAGCAAGGTGCAGAGCGCCACGGTTTCCGCTGCCTGACAACTGCACCGTGAGGTTTATACGTCACGTGTGTCGGTCGGATACATGCTCACCATTAAGCTGAAAAGGATGCCCCCCCCCCCGGGACAGCGACTGGTGGGAGGATTTTTGGAGTTTCTCATTCAGCGCTGAGAAGTGTCTCCCCCCCCACGGGGGAGATGTGACAGCTGAGCCGATTCCGCGCGCACGGAGGAGGCAACGTGTTGCTGAGGTAATGTGATCAGACGCTGGGGGGGCTGAGGGCGCGCCTGTCTGTAAAGGAGACGGCCCTCTGGAGCACCAGGCGGGGGCGGGCGGGGGGATTGCGCCTGCCTGATTGATTATTTAATTAGGCTTAACTAAATATTCATTAGACCAGCCGATCTTGTGTAGTAAAAAAAACTGAAGTTCTATCTCACTGGATGAAAGTTTTTGCAGCGTATGTGTCTCCTGAGGGGTAAAAAAAATAAACTCAAAAACTGACTGGACCGTGTAATAACTCTAATTGAACCATATCAGATCTTGAAACAGACCCCAATACTATTTCTATATGAGTTGATTCTTTGCCATTTAGCTCAGTCTCTTTGGCTGATAGTTAATTTAAGATTATACTAGTATTAATAATTAATAAAAATAACCCCAAAAAATGTAAGGTTGTTCTGGAATAAAGGAGTTATTTTACATTTTGTAAAATACCGTTGTTGGCTTTCTTTATGGGACGGACGTCAGAAGTGTAAATAGTTGCCATCGCCCTTAAGTTTTATGTGCAGTCAGCTACAACTCAAAAGTGTATTTTTATTCTACAAACTTTCCCAACCTCTTAGTGAATGCCAGCTAACCGTCTTATATTGTACATGAGAGTATGATGACCTCTTCACCTACTCAGCAAGAACTCTAACATATCCCCCCCCACATGCAATGCCCTGTTTAAATAACGCTTTCTGACCCCAAACGGCCTCATTTCACGGTGCGCTTCTTTGTATCGTCCTTCTCCAGCCGCAATGGCAGAGCGTGATTCCTTCGTAGTATGTTAATGTTATAAATGTTATTTACCCAGGGAGTGTTTTGACACCATGTGTGTATGATGTTACTTTTTTTCTGCAATGACCTACATCCCCCCCCCCCCTCACTGTACATTGAGCCACATTCACACCAGGGAACGGCAATGCAATCAGTCTGGTACTGGGGGCCGCTGAGCAACAGTATACTTAATGGGTAAAGTGCCTCACTCCAGTGCAATCCAGTGGTAGTTGCAGAAGAAAGGCGTGGGAGGATGGGGGGACGGGGGGTTTTGGGTGTTGGCCAATTACATTCACCCCTCCAGGACGTGTACCAGGAACTAAGTTTAATTTTCACATCATAGAAAATGAAGCAGGGATTTCTATGGGCATGTTTCCAAAGCACTGATGCTTTGACCTACTCACCAGAGAAACAGGGAGCAGAGATGACACATGTTTTAATAAAGATTCCCGTTGCTAATTTCACTTGATTGTTTTCTTACACCACGATTTACACATTTCCATTTTTACAAATCTGGATTCCTCAGCGGTTTGTTTACTGTATCTCGTTCTCCCTCTACAAGCATTCACCCTGCACAGGCTCCAGTGTAAAGTCATTTAAGGATCAATTTTCAGTCTTTTCTTATTAAAATACATCAGCACCAAGCACCAGCCTGACCTTAAGATTTGACATATTCTCAATACATCTCCTATGCTTATCCTGGTGAAAGACATTTAAGTTCTCAAATTTGGTTTGCTTCCCCACTGTGACTAGATTAACGAGCTGCCCTTTTGCTTGTAGCATTGGCCATGTTTTCTGCAGCTTTAGGTATCTTCATTAAATGTAGAAATATTGACCTTCAGTGCTTTTTATGAGAACATATAAGATGGAAAAGCAGGAATTTATCTTTATAACTCTGCAAACTATTCGCATCATTCCTGTGCTGTATGAAGCATGGCTGGTGTTACATAGTCCACTTTGAGTTCCAATTGCATGAATTTAACTTCATTGTGATTCCTATTTTTCAATTTGGGCATTTACAACATTGAGAATACAATTTCAACCATTTTAGTTTGTGACTGCATCAACCTCGCCATATCATCTCTGTCTCTTAAAACCCCCTCGTCACCAAACGGAAATGACAAACACTCCAATAAAGTGCAATGATTCCAATTATACAATGACTGGTTTTGTCAGTGGTGCAAAGAAACTATTGGAATTGAGACCGGCTTTATAAACCATTTGAATAAAACAAACATTATATTACTGTCAGAACTAGACACTTGTCTAAAATGAATGCTGATTTTTGCTTGTCATCTAGTGCATACAAAGCCAGGGAATGTCTTAAATATACCATTTATTGTATTGAAATTGTCCAAGTCTCTGCAGCAATGTACTGTGGAAGAATTAAATGGTCAATTAAATTGACCAAGAGATGACAATAAACAGATCAGCAGTTATTACTGTTACTTTTTAGCACAGTTCTGTAGGTTAGAAAATGTGTGGGCTTGAAGTGCTTTACTACAGCATGTGCTGACTCAACGACTTGTTAATCAGGCCCGCAGTTATGCACACAGTCAGCTGCATGGAGCCCGTTGAGAAATACCCAGATCCCTCTTGAATATAGATATAATTAGATTGTTGCACAAGATTTTGCCGGCTGAATTATGAACTCAGGCCCACAACTGTATGTTCACGAAACAGAATGTGGTTGAGCGATGCATATCAGTATAAACCATATTGCCTTGGAGTATAATGACTGTGGTTTGACTTTCAGAGCTTCACGTGTTTCTACCTACGTTGTGGCTTGTTTGTAAAATCAATAGCTTGAACATGTGAAATTCACAATTTCTCACTTTACTAACACGTGTCAAATAATACTGCTTTTGGCCATATTGTCAGCTTTAACTCAAACAGCCAGTTCAAATGTAAAAGAAAACACACCCAAAAAGAACATCTAGCTCAGAATGTCAAATGGGAAAATAGAGCATAACATTATTAAAATGTCACAGAAAAACAGTCGTAAATGAATACTGATTCAGAGGCAAAATGCCACGTTGTAATTGCCTCTGAACTTAGAAGTTTAAGGTGATAACATTAAAATATTGTATTTCATCCACCTTTCAGAGCGTTGTAAAGATTAATCAACATGTAGCAGAACTTATTCTGCCCCCGAGTCATGTGACCTTTCCCGCTCACTTAACTGCATGTAGCAGGGCTCTGGGGTAAACGCAGTTGCACTGTATGAAGTGTATGCTCATTTATTAAAAATGCAATATATTATCCTGCGGTTCTCTAAAATGACTCACAAAGAATATGTTTCAATCAGGTTTGGAGGAAGAAAAGATGTAGAAATGAGTAATTGCTGCAGAAATAAATCTGTGTTGATGTTAATAAAAAACCTTTTCATAGCAAACACTTGTAAGAACAAATACAGTACCTCTGGGATGGGAAATGTTGCAATTTAGGCACTAGATGCTGAAAGTATGTAGTATATGAGAACAAACCACAAACAAACAACATTATCGTGGCAATTAGGCATTACAATTGCATTTAAATGTTGTTTTTGTATCAAAATATTCCCATATGTCCATATCCTTTTAATCCTAGTTGTATAAGAGAACATTAATCGTTTTGACTGATCGCTCTGGGCCGTGTTGATAGAGTGGGGAGGGCGCTCGAAACAAGGACACCGCCATCTTGGTCTCTTTACCTCTGGGATTTAAATATTAAACATAAAGTATGGCAGATTATTATCCCTGTCACCTTGCCTTAAGCAATGATATTCTGCTTCAACAGTGCAATCAAGTACCTGCTGTGTCACATACTACTGTGGTTTCAGGCTCTCTGTTTTTGCGGGGCCCATACCTTTTTTTCACAGTCTGAAATAGTTAGTTTGAAGTATGTAGACATGAATACCATAATAAACATATCTTTTGATTAACACTTATTTACAGTTACAATATATTGTTTAAACAGATTCAGTCAGTGACAGCTCATGACAAATATATGTGGTGTTTCAAAGTAAAATGTCTCTTTAGGTTTTAGCTTTTTCCATACACCAGCAGGACAGAGCTGTTGAAACACAGTGGGAAATGTTACCAGAAAACCACGGCTCTGGTTAAGTGACAATTAGTTCAATCTATACTGAGCAGTAGTAAAAAATGCAAGAGAATGAACAAATGCTTTGATTTTTTGGCATGTTGAAACAAAGCTTTTCCACCAGGATGAGCTCATACTCAGTTTTCTGTAGTTTGTTTCCATGACAACAATATCAAAATTCTGCTGCTGCTGCCATTGCTCTGCATTAAGACAGAGATTGACATGAGACACCAGGGTTCAGTCAACTCATTCGATCTTTAAATTGAATGCATTTTATATTGAATACAGAATAGCTATAGATACACGACAACAGTCCAACATTCATACCTATTGCATACATTTATATATATGGATTTGTATATTGTTTTGTGTTTGAGACCTAAAAATGAAAGCAACTATAAGTCTGTTTTAAAAATAAAAATCAGGTTATTTTAAACTCTGCTGGGACTGTAAATAGACTAAGCTGTGTAATATTAGCAAAAACTTATTTTTCCCAAACTTTTATTTAGCTAACTGAAGATTTCACGCTAGTTTAGGAAAAGCTACCAGTTAGAGGCATTTTATTAGAAGTATCAAACGTTGAAGTGTCCTCAGAGAACTATGTGAAATTCTCAAAGCCAGTAAAATATAAATCATCAGAAGCAATAGATATATCAGTTACTGAGCTCTGCACTCACATAAAAGTCCATGCTGGGAAAATCTGTGAAGTAAAAATGTCACTACCTGTCTATACTGGCAGGCTTTCTGGCGGCATCCTTAAAGTCTCCCCAAGGCTTCATCCACCAAATAATTTGGATCCAAGCATCACGACAAACACACACACACACACACACACAGAAGCTACTGTACCCTAGTTTCCTTGACATAGTGTCTTATCTCATAAAGGCCTCCCAGAACGCAG